TCATGATTTGATATCCTGTTGTTTTGGCGGTGGTCAATATCATGATTGGATATCCTGTTGTTTTGGCAGTGGTTAATATCATGATTGGATATCCTGTTGTTTTGGCGGTGGTCAATATCACGATTGGATATCCTGTTGTTTTGGCAGTAGTCAATATCATGATTGGATATCCTGTTGTTTTGGCAGTAGTCAATATCACGATTGGATATCCTGTTGTTTCTCAGTGGCCAATATCATGATTGGATATCCTGTTGTTTTGGCAGTGGTCAATATCACGATTGGATATCCTGTTGTTTTGGCAGTGGTCAATATCATGATTGTATATCCTGTTGTTTTCTCAGTGGTCAATATCATGATTGGATATCCTGTTGTTTTCTCAGTGGTCAATATCACGATTGGATATCCTGTTGTTTTCTCAGTGGTCAATATCATGATTGGATATCCTGTTGTTTTCTCAGTGGTCAATATCATGATTGGATATCCTGTTGTTTTCTCAGTGGTCAATATCACGATTGGATATCCTGTTGTTTTGGCAGTGGTCAATATCATGATTGGATATCCTGTTGTTTTGGCAGTGGTCAATATCACGATTGGATATCCTGTTGTTTTGGCAGTGGTCAATATCATGATTGGATATCCTGTTGTTTTGGCAGTGGTCAATATCAGGATTGGATATCCTGTTGTTTCGGCAGTGGTCAATATCACGATTGGATATCCTGTTGTTTTCTCAGTGGTCAATATCACGATTGGATATCCTGTTGTTTTGGCAGTGGTCAATATCACGATTGGATATCCTGTTGTTTTGGCAGTGGTCAATATCATGATTGGATATCCTGTTGTTTTGGCAGTGGTCAATATCATGATTGGATATCCTGTTGTTTCGGCAGTGGTCAATATCATGATTGGATATCCTGTTGTTTTAGCAGTGGTCAATATCATGATTGGATATCCTGTTGTGTTGGCAGTGGTCAATATCACGATTTGATATCCTGTTGTTTTCTCAGTGGTCAATATCATGATTGGATATCCTGTTGTTTTAGCAGTGGTCAATATCATGATTGGATATCCTGTTGTGTTGGCAGTGGTCAATATCACGATTGGATATCCTGTTGTTTCGGCAGTGGTCAATATCATGATTGGATATCCTGTTGTTTTAGCAGTGGTCAATATCATGATTGGATATCCTGTTGTGTTGGCAGTGGTCAATATCACGATTTGATATCCTGTTGTTTTGGCAGTGGTCAATATCATGATTGGATATCCTGTTGTTTTAGCAGTGGTCAATATCATGATTGGATATCCTGTTGTTTTGGCAGTGGTCAATATCACGATTGGATATCCTGTTGTTTTGGCAGTGGTCAATATCATGATTGGATATCCTGTTGTTTTGGCAGTGGTCAATATCACGATTGGATATCCTGTTGTTTTGGCAGTGGTCAATATCATGATTGGATATCCTGTTGTTTTGGCAGTGACTGATATCACGATTGGATATCCTGTTGTTTTGGCAGTGGTCAATATCATGATTTGATATCCTGTTGTTTTGGCAGTGGTCAATATCATGATTGGATATCCTGTTGTTTTGGCAGTGGTCAATATCATGATTGGATATCCTGTTGTTTTGGCAGTGGTCAATATCATGATTGGATATCCTGTTGTTTTGGCAGTGACTGATATCACGATTGGATATCCTGTTGTTTTGGCAGTGGTCAATATCATGATTTGATATCCTGTTGTTTTGGCAGTGGTAAATATCACGATTGGATATCCTGTTGTTTTGGCAGTGGTCAATATCACGATTTGATATCCTGTTGTTTTGGCAGTGGTCAATATCATGATTGGATATCCTGTTGTTTTGGCAGTGGTCAATATCACGATTGGATATCCTGTTGTTTTGGCAGTGGTCAATATCACGATTGGATATCCTGTTGTTTTGGCAGTGACTGATATCACGATTGGATATCCTGTTGTTTTGGCAGATTGGTTATAAAAAAACAAATAGTTTTTATGAAAAGGAAAAGCATGCTTCTTTTAGAAAGGATTTTATTTATCTATTTTCCAAACCAGATTTCATTCATGTAGAATCTATTCCAAGCAAATAGTTTTACTATGTTTCTGTAGTTGTATAATCAGTGGAAAGGTTGAATGTGACATATTTATCATATTTATTGATTTTCTGTATCAACTGCCAATGCCATTTTGGACACATTTAATCTAGTGCCAAGCTATAGACTGCAGACATTTCCCCTCTTTCTGTTGATATCATTTGTCACCGCACTTCTGAAATGGATTATCCTGAAATAACTTTGTAGTATAATCTACCACGAATTATGAAACAAAATAATGCTTACATATACGGTTTGAGGATTTTTGGCCTGAAAGTTTATCTCGACAGGTTTAGGATGTGATGACTAAGAGTTAAAATTCTGAATTATTTTTTTTATACTCAGTGTTTGGTAAAAAAAAAACTCAAAATGTTACAACATATTGATTTCCAATGAATGACTTGAGCATGTCATGTCTGGGAATATGTACAGTGCAATAAAATTTGACATTTGGAGAATGGCAATGTGCTAAAACTAGTGGGGAGTCCAATGTGTAGCTTTGTGAATTCAGAACGGGAGAGGGAGGTGTAATTCAAGTTGTGATTATAATAATTAAAGTAGTATTGGGGGTATATTTTGGTCCTGTTACAATTGAGGTGTCCTGCCCCACTGGGGGTATATATAGCTTGTGCCCTGACATCGTGTGACCAGGTGTGTGTGGTCGTGTGTACATGTCTGTCTGAGGCCAAAACCAGATCCAGGCACACCAATGCAACACTCCAATATGACACTTTGTTTTATCTGATCTTCTGTGGTAATCTACACCAAAGTTCTTGGGCTAGAGTGATTAAAAATAATGTATAAATATACTCATGCTTGAGACTATAATTGGATAGGTCATTAATATTACAATAAGGTTACACCATACCTGATGAAATCTCTTGTTATACAGATCCCTAAGAGAGATCCCTGTTGATTGATCAGGTTAAATAAGATTTGTCAAGAGCCAACATCTGACCTGCACAACGCCAATTCATTGTTGCAGTTTTTAGTACTCTGATAATCTACAAATTGTGTTAATAGATGAATAGAAGAAAGAATAGATTATCATTAAAAATGTAATTCATAATTGAATTGAATTGAAATTTTTAACAACAATTCCTGCAGTTCTGAAATTTATCAAAAGCATTTACCAGAATATCGTTCTAAAACATTATTACCAGCATAAATGTTGCATTTTATCTAAGTTAAGATCTAGTATCGGTGAATTTTTACACCCAAGAGCACTTTTATACATGTGAAGTAAATAGCCAGTAAAGTTTGGATAAGATATATTTTAAGTGAAGTGTATTATGTGTGGATATCCTTGTTTCACGCTCCAAGTGTTGGTATATCAGTTGAGAAAATCTGGTTTTGATGATTTTAAATGTCCAAGGGAATGGGCCCCGGGATGTAAATTAAATGTCTGACAGAAGATTCTAAGGGAACAATGAATTTTTTGGGTGTTGCAGTACAACTCCTAAGACACACACACACACACATACAAACAGTTTAAACAAAATACACTGAGGAAGTACAATACCTATTATCTGCCTAGCCTAATACTTGTAATTATTTGACATTTAAACTCTGGAACAAATAGTAACATATTTCCTACTGATATTTGCTGTGGGATGTTAGTCCCATTTATTGTGAACTAAAAATAAAACCCTGTACCAGATATACTTATTTCCTCCCAAAAATAATGCTTATTGCATCTAACATTAAGTGTTTAGGAATAGTCACTATTAACAACATGAGATACTAAATACACAATTGGCATACACATGGCATACGGTAGTATTTTTAGCCTACCATCATCAGATGATGGGCTATTCAAATCGCTCTGCATCCTTGGACAGTCATCCGTCCCTCCATCTGTCCGTAAATAATTTTCATTATCTTTATTTCTTGAAAAGTAAGAGATGGATCTGGGATTTTGGTACTGATAAAAAGAATCACAATGGCCAACAAGCGGCCATCTTGGATTTTAACTTTGAAAGTTCTGGAGAACTATTGCATAGATCTTTCTTAAATTTCATGTATTGGTTACATTAGGTCCCTAGTTGTGCCTGTTTGTATTTAGGACTGACGAGAAAAACTAAATTGCTGACAGGCAGCCATCTTGGATTGCCTAATTAAGATTTTTATTGCTATTTCTGAAGAAGTACTGGATGAATATCTGTATGTTCTCTTTGGTCTCTCCTTGTGTTTGTTTGATTTTGGGGTTGATCAGAAGAAATGAAATGGCTTCCAGGTGGCCATTTTGGATTTGGTAGGTAAAGATAACTATTTCTGCTTAGGAATGTTCAACTCTCTTATCATTAAGAGCAGAGAAGTGGAAAGAAAAGAAGGGAAAAGATCCCAACTTTCATAGAGCATATAAAGATCAAACAGTGGTGGGCGCCAAGATCCCTCTGGGATCTCATGTTAGATCATGAAGCTTATGCATGTTAGTTGATAGCTCCAGGCTAGCGTCAAAGACCTAACATTATAAGAGGCAGTATGTATGCGTAGCATCAGAGAATATATTTTTTGATAACCTAGAATTCTAAAAGCTATCACCTTGAATGTATATATCAATTTCAATGTTTTAGAAGATATTTGAAACTTGTTCTTTGTTCTGGAGATCAATCAGTATAATTGATTACGTGGGTGATGTTGAGGTAATGGGGCTAGTCAACTACATCAAGCTTATGTTGTTAAACTGATCCTTTTCTCTGATATAACCATTACTTACTTCCAAGGTCATGTGTGTCAAATGCTTTTGTTTAAAAGAAGTGACATTCAACTTATTGAAGCATGCTGAGGTCAATTGCTTTATACCATTAATTCAAATCGAGGCTATATCATTTTCCTTGTTAAAAGGTCACATAGAAATTCATGTAAAAATGATATATATGTTGTATTTTTCAGTGTCAACCCAGATCTGTTGACTGAAGTCACATTTGGGTCACATTTGGAATACCCAGATGGATCAGTACCCAGTAAGTACTTTTTGTCTCTGACATGTTTCTTGGTTGTTTGTTGTTTGAAAATGTTCTCCTCTCTGTTATTATATTTCTCTATTGCCTTAAAGTCCGATTGTTCATATCTGATGTTTTTTTTTTTTTTTTGGCTGTATGTTTTTAACAAGTCTGAGTTGGTCCAAAGACATTTATAATGATGTTAGAAGTGATATAGATTATATTCCTAAAATAGGCCTCAATCTCACTCTCACAGGAAACATACTGAGAATTGATATAGATTTTATTCCTTAAATAGGCCTCAAACTCACTCTCACAGGAACCATGTTTAGATCTATTGATGCAATAATCAAATAAACGTTTATCAATCATACAGATATTATAATTACAGAGTTTTAGTTTAAAATCAAAACAGTATAAAGATACGATTCTACACTTTTATTGTCATATGACTAAAACTGACACACTGAGTGATCATCCTCCAATAAAATGAACCGTAAACTTTACAAGTCCTGGAAAGTCTCCAGCATTTGTATTTAGATTTTCAATTGGATATTTGAAGTGACAGATTATTGAATAAACACTATAGAAGATGAAATGTTGATTTTACAGCATAGTATCACTCTCCTCTTTCCTGGGAACCATAAATGTGGGTGTGCTATGCTTTATGAGTTTGTTTATCAATAATAAATGTTAGCATTGATTTAGATAGACCCCTGCATAGTTTATGACAAATATTGTACAACAAAAGTACACTTCAAGGGTGTTAGTAACACTGGGTAATTATGTATCATTAGATAGCCTTTTGATTAATAAATGCTATCAGTATTTCACAGTTTAATCTATTGCAAAAGTACAAAAGTATAGACGTTTCCGCAGATAATGGAATCTTTCCCATGTTCAATGTAAAAAAGGAAAAACCTTAGCAAACCTATTAGATTTATCAGATTTGAAGATAACTTGTTTGAGTCTAAATTATTCTAGAAATCTATAATTGTGTTAATAATATATATATGATTTATCTGTTAGGTTAAATGTGTACTGAAAAAACCAAATCCTGTTGGAAGATTGGTTAAAAATATCATAATATACTTCTACATACATGAAATTATGGTCTGTTTATCATACTGTTTTTAATTTGTGAGATTTAGTAAATGAATTCTCACCAATATTTTATCGTTACAGTGGTTGCAAAGACAAGCAATGGGAGAATGTCTCCAGTACGAGCCAGAACAATGAAGGAATATGACCAGGTACATGGTTTAACAGAAGAAATAAATGACATACCTATTTATGTGTAGTGTGCAAATTTTGTGTTCAAACACTTACCGTAGAATTGAACTTTGTGTCTGGACGCTTATCACAGACTTGAACTTTGTGTTCAGAGACTTGACACACATTAATTTTGTGTCTGGACACTCATCACAGACATGAACTTTGTGTTCAGAGACTTGACACACATTAATACTTGACACACATTGAACTTTGTGTTCAGAGATTTTGACATGAACTTTGTGTTGTGACACACATTAATTTTGTGTCTGGACGCTCATCACAGACATGAACTTTGTGTTCAGAGACTTGACAGAGACATTAACTTTGTGTCTGGACATTTACCACAGATCTGAACTTTGTTAGTCTGAACATTCATGTGTCACTTCAAGGACACTTCAAACTGAAAGGGCAATAAACCAAGCCGACGAACTTTTCTGAATAAGATGTTGTTAGACCTGTAGTTTCTATTGTTTCATGTGTATTTTCTTGATCTCATGCCATACACCTACAGTTACTACATTGGATTTACCAGGTATACTGATGACCACTTGATTTTAGCAGAACTATGAAAATGATATTTTTTGTGTTCACAGCAAATTGCAGTTCTGAAGAAGGAGAACTTTAGTCTAAAGCTGAGGATTTACTTCCTGGAGGAGAGAATGCAGCAGAAATTTGGAGATGGGGAAGATGTGTTTAAAACCGTAGGTTGTCTACTTATAAGTAATCAGGGGCTGAAATCAAATGTGATTCAAAAGTCATTATTAATTCTTTTGCACCTATAGTTCTAAATTCACAAATATTCCAAACAGACCTTCATATTTGTCTGGACTAGTGAGGAAATGGCAAATTGAAGTATTAGTTTTTTATACGTACACAGTGCAGAAAGTAATGTAAATGATAAAGGTATAATTGAAAGGTTACATTTTCCTTATGTATGTGTAATATTGGTTTATTATGTATTATACACCCATCATTTCTGTTTGTGTATTACCTGGATATCCTTGTAATACAGAAACCTCTTAACATCACAAAGTAAAAGTGATAAAACAGTGATGTAATTGTGATACATGAGTGGCCTGATGGTCTGACGAAAAATTGTGAAATCTTAAAATTATGGCAACATTGTCATATATGAGAGATAAATACTTTTTAATTTCACACTAGAGATACATAACCCTTGGGAGAGTGTTTAAATTTGGTAGTACTATATTTTGATTCCCTTAGGGTTGAAATGTCCCAATTCTTTATGTAGAGGTTTAATTCAGTTACTGGTGTGTACATATGTACTTGACAATTCTTTATGTAGAGGTTTAATTTTATTGCTGGTGTATACATATGTACTTGACAATTCTTTATGTATAGGTTTAATTTTATTGCTGGTGTGTACATATGTACTTGACAATTCTTTATGTAGAGGTTTAATTCTATTACTGGTGTGTACATATGTACTTGACAATTCTTTATGTAGAGGTTTAATTCTATTACTGGTGTGTACATATGTACTTGACAATTCTTTATGTAGAGGTTTAATTCTATTACTGGTGTGTACATATGTACTTGACAATTCTTTATGTAGAGGTTTAATTCTATTACTGGTGTGTACATATGTACTTGACAATTCTTTATGTAGAGGTTTAATTCTATTACTGGTGTGTACATATGTCCTTGACAATTCTTTATGTAGAGGTTTAATTTTATTGCTGGTGTATACATATGTACTTGACAATTCTTTATATAGAGGTTTAATTTTATTGCTGGTGTGTACATATGTACTTGACAATTCTTTATGTAGAGGTTTAATTCTATTACTGGTGTGTACATATGTCCTTGACAATTCTTTATGTAGAGGTTTAATTTTATTGCTGCTGTATACATATGTACTTGACAGTTTTCATGCACTCACCAGTTTGATTGGGAGGGACCAATAGTCCCTCTCAATCCTGTGGCTTCCCATCACATTCTGTTCCAAATCAATGTTATATTTTGAAAACCTGTCCACAATTTTGGTTTGTATATACCTCTTGATATCATAACATCAAGTTACACACCTGACTATCGCTGAGCACAGGGGCATTCATGTCATACAGATGTGTTCTAGTTACATAATGCATGGCTGTTGATTGCTATATCTGGTGTTTTATCTGTTTTACAGAATATCGAGCTAAAGGTCGAGTGCGAGAGTCTGAAGCGAGAATTGGCTGACAAACACAACTTATTGAAGAAGGCATCGTAGGTGTTGTTACAATTAGGACTGATTGTATACTAGAATAGACTGACGACACTGATACATGTATTTTCCCCTTACACATTACACATATCATTTAGTGGTATTCCTATTTGTTTCTAAATGTTGACATATTCTGATATGCCACTTGATCCATTTGGAAAGTTATGGCTTGAAATCGGCTCATTCCATTTAGGCTCTGCAGAATCAATGCAAATGGTTGAAAAGTAAAGTGAAAAAAAAAATAACAAATGAATGAATAAACAAAAGAAAAAATTTCAAGACAGTGTACAAGGAATTCATTACTTGTCTATAGTTTGGTGCTTTATTGTTATGAAATGAACAATTAGTCTGCGTGTACACCATGCAGATCTCACATGCCTCTCTGTCTGTTGTTCATCTTAAACACACCATAGTCATTTGATTTCCACTGTTAATGCTACCATAATATTTCTTATTCTTTGGAATGAAGAGCCAGGACACTTTATTAAAACTGAAATACTAAAATAGATGTGAAATGTTTCAAGATGATTACCATAATTGGACTGTATCTCTAATTGACATGAGATTAGATTAGATTTTGTGAGATAAGGATACATGTATTTTCCATTATGGAATTAGGATGATCAAAATATGATGCAGTTGAATATTTTCATTTTAGTAATGCTATGGAGAATCTGTCGAGTAATCACCAGTCAGAGATGACAAAAATACGAGCACAAATTGAAAAAGATTTCAAGGACTCTAACAATGGACTGGCTTATCAACTTGACTCCGCTCAAAAGGTTGGTGTGCCTTTTTATCAAATTAAATTATAATTTAGATTTGTTTTTAAATGTGTTGTATATTAAAAATAAACACTGTTTGATGTTCAAAGAAAGAATATGATTTAGTTTAAGAAAAATGAAAAATGATTGTGTTTGTTCCCAAGGCCCTTGATGAGGCAGAAGAAGTTCTCCAGGATAAGGAAGACAAGATACAGGAGTTACAGGGACAACTTGACAGAATGACTTCTGAGGTCAAAGAAGTGCAACAGAAAGGAGAAGAGTCTGTAAAGGTAACCACTGGAACCAGCTGCAGACAGTGTTTTTCTTAACTTTGGAATACTTTATCTTAGGTTTCTTTCTTCAAAAAATGTGACAGAATTTAAAGTAGTTCTGGGTCAAAAACACATTCGTATAGCTGAAGCCTATCCCAGTTCCCAAACTATGAAGTTAATGAAAGGTGCTTCTAAGTTCACACTTGTCTTTTATGAGGTAGTATTGCCTAGTATTCAGTATTTCTTTATCTTTACAAGAGTATGTACTTGAGAATTCATCTTTCACTGTATTATATAAAATCACAATTAGAATGTCTTGCTGCTTTAACAGCACTAATAGGTAGCTAAAGATCACCTGATATACTGTATTATATAACTACCCAGATAAAATGTAACCAATTATTGGTAGTTTATGTTGATGATCATTACTTGTATGTGAATAAAAAAAGTTTATTTATATTATCTCTTGTATTTCAGGAATTAATGCAAGAATTGAAGAACAAAGATATGTGAGTACTGTTTTGTCAGCACATTTCCTGAAGTTTATAGTCCTGTATCCTGTTTATAAGGGCCTAGTCTCCTGATAACTGGTCCTGTATCCTGTTTATAAGGACCTAGTCTCCTGATAACTGGTCCTGTATCCTGTTTATAAGGACCTAGTCTCCTGATAACTGGTCCTGTATCCTGTTTATAAGGACCTAGTCTCCTGATAACTGGTCCTTTATCCTGTTTACAAGGACCTAGTCTCCTGATAACTGGTCCTGTATCCTGTATCCTGGTCCTTTATCCTGTTTACAAGGACCTAGTCTCCTGATAACTGTTCCTGTATCCTGTTTATAAGGACCTCATCTCTAGATACTCAATCCTGTAACCTGTTTATGAATATCAAGTATTTGTCTTCTAAGGATATAGATATGGATACTGTCAAGGCCATTAGGATAAAGGTCAGGGTGACAATTCATTCAAAACAAGACTCCTTTACTTCATTGTTTGAAAAGAATTTTCTGGGAGATTGGAGTTACTTATAGATACTTAATATAATTGATTTGCATTTGTAGCATGGTTTATAATTACACTTTCCAATGACTGATGATATTTCTATTGGTACAAGTTTCATGTAGTATATTTGTTTTCCACAAAAGTACTGAAAATAAAATTTGGAATTTTCCAGAGAGATACAGCATCTGACAGGCACAAATCTGAAGAACCAGGAAGACATAGATTTACTCCAACAACAGAAGGAACATGCTGAAGATGAGCTGGAAAAGTTGGAGAAGGAGCTTGGCAGGAGGGGTCGGGATCTGGAGGTGAGAAACAGCTTTTCGGAAATATAGATTTTGGCAGGAAGAGTAGAAAATGATAACAGAGAGGTTTGAGGAAATATAGATATGAGCAGGTGGGGTCAAGATCTAAAGGTGAGAAGGACAGAAAGGTTTGAGGGAATTAAGGTCTGGGCAGTAGTCGATGGGATCTGAAGTTGAAAAACACAGATGTCTTAAGTATTCAAGATCTCAACTGGAGGGGTTAGTATCAAGAGGTGAGGAAGGAATCTAGAGCTTGTTAGGAGGGGTTGGGATCTGGAGGAGTGAAACAGTGAAGTTTGAGGAAATCTAGAGCTAGACAGGACCTTGAAATTAGAAATTGAAAAAAAGTTGCGAAAAATAATATTAAAAGGAAGACAGAGATGGCTGTCAAACAAAAAGATTGAAATTTACACTAAAGATACAGATTTAGAGATTTAAGTTTGGGTCTGCAGTTGTAGAATATGCATCATACAGTGGCCATATGTTTCCATGTAAATAACAGGATATTTTTATATTTGCATATATGGCCATGCCACTATATAAAGTAGCCAATAAATGTGATTCAGTGTACTAAAAATGATATGACCCTTATGATGTCAGTAGTGTGGACATAGAAATGCTGACAGTTTGCTATCAAAATAGTTGTTCCATTTGAAATGTTACCAGCACACTGTCAAGAAGGAATAATTTATATTGGTAAGAACCAATTTATATCTTGTATAAGACAGCAACATAGGTAGGAAATGTAAACGTAAACATTGTCTTGTTATGGTACTGAGAGCCATTACAAATGACAGAGATTTGCAGGCGAACATATCATATTGTACTAGCATCATTCAACAATAATGTTTATGTAAAGGTGGGAATGAATCTCTTTTCGATAGAATGTCACCCAAAAAAAACCCAAGTTTTAGAAATATCCTATATATTTGTTACTCTATGTTTGTTAGCATGTGGCATGTTGAAGACAACAAGAGTTATTTCCCTTCATTATGTTTTGTTTCCATTTGATCAGTTTTGTTTGTAGCATGTGTATGACATCAGAGTGATAGACTTCACAGCTTAGCTGTACAGAATGTGTTTAATTTGGTTATTGTCATCATTATGAATATACCTTACTCATTCTGATATGAATGGAAGAAAATAAATTGAAAACCAATTTCATTTCTGTTATGGATATATTGAAACTTTATTAAGCTTATTCATTAAATTGACATTAAATTGCTTGTGTGAAGGAATTACTCTTTGTTGCATTTTCCAAATTTTCTCCCTAGAATGTCGACACTGTTCCCTTGAATGTTGGTGGGACTTTCAGACATTATTCCAGATGTTTATGATGATTGATGTTACATTTGATTGTATGATGTTTTTGTTGTTAGTTAAGTTGGATGTACACTGTATATGTTCTTGCATGTAGCAACTGTCGTGCTTTGTGAAGGACACTACCCTACTGGACAGTCAGTCTTTCCTCCTCAACAGTCATCTTCAGGTTTGTTTTAGACCACTTACTGGTCAGCATATCAGTGGTCAGTCTTACTGACTAGTCACATTAACTACAACTATATACTCACTGTTAACACATGATATATTTATACTTGTTTTAATGGAAACTTCACTTTTTCTTCCACAAACTTTTACAGGTGATAAAAAATCTAAAAAGTTTTACTGTTTTGCAACTTGTGAAATTTCATTGCTAAATTTCATAATTAGCCAATCAGATTTTTTACAGGTACATAATAGATCAACTAAAATGGTATTTAGATAGGTCATTCTTGGTATGATAGTAATTCTTACCTTTTCATATTGCATGATCTTATAGGAAATTACCTACCTCAGGTTCTTACAAAACAACACTATCCTATCATCAGAGCTGTTTTTGGAAGAGATATACAAATGTTTCAATATTAAGAAAAAAGTTTCATAGGGTGTTGATAAAATTCTGGTTCATAGATCAAAAAGTGGATTGATGCATTATGTTAGAAATCAAAACAAAGATGACATTGTTTCAGATGATTGTACAGCGGTGAAGAATCACTTGTACATTTTCTAAGGAATATAAACATACACGATAATGATTTCTCTATGAATAATTTGATGGTGAATGACCGATAGATGCTTCAAAATCTCAGAGAAATATAGCTGTATAATGTACCTATCAGTTCATGTAAGAACTAGCGCCAAGCACAGACGTGTATGAATCTAGTGTGAACATTATTCAGAATGGATGTAAAAGCCTACAATCAAAACACTTTAAAACAACGAAAATTGTTTGAAAAGGAAATAATATGCATTCTAATCGGGTTATACAAGATTAATTTGAATGAATCAAAAATCAATCAACTATTTCCTTCAATAGATAAAAAACAATCCCTGTTTGATGACTCCTGATTGCATGTCTCCCATTGATATAAAATGTATGACAGCATACAGATTATGCTTCCATTGTTGAACTTGTAGTAGACATAATGCAATTTGAATGATAAAATCACAATATGATTCTGATATATACCCATCCTGGTAATTATTGTAACACATTATAGTAAATTGTCTCCCTTTGTCTATGGCATGTACTGTTTATCTTACACCTTTAAAGGTTTTAAAAATCCTTATACTGTCTGAAAATTACTGTTTTGTTTTGGTTTTGTTTTTTAAGAAGAGAATGTTTTGAAAAAAATTTAACACATGATGAAAACATTGTCATGATATGAAATAAGGAAATTGAAATAAATGTTTTTCAATGTAACTGCATGTGTTTGAATGCTTTTTAACATACAAAGATCACATCTTCTCTTGATTAATGCTAAACAGATTTTCAAACATATTTCAGATAAGTTCAAATATTATAGTTGAATGCTGTTTCATAGAATTAGAGTTAACAATAACTTTATCTTTGCATTCAGGATGCTGTCGATGACCAAAATGAAGCAATTAGGAAAATGGAGGAAAGGATTAAGGACGATGAATTAAAAGTGAAGGACAAGGATGAAATGATTGGGGTGTGTATTCTGATACAAGTACACTAGATACACCTAAAGTAAACAGAGTACCAAGTGTGAGACCAACCTCAGACTGTACATATGTTTATGGGAAGACAAATCATGACCATAAAAACCTACCTATTGTACAGTTTTAGGATTGTCTCATTAACACATACAAAAATAGTGATATTTATTAAAATAATGTATTCCATTCTTCAGTCACATACTCAGGTATTTCTGATTTCAGAAGCTAGAAGATCTTCTGAAATCTGTTGAAGCAAGCCGAAAGGTATGTACAGTGATACTGATCTATAGTCTCTTTGTTGATTGTTTTTGGAATTATTTTCATAGTAGATGTTATTGCTCCTACAACAAAATGTCAGTTTCATTGTTCAAGTCAAATGGTTCAATGTCCTATACTGAAACATCACTCACAGGGGTTTGCTATGATACTTATAGGTAAGCAACAGCTGTTAGCTAGGTTCAACAGACAGATTAATATTCTCTTTAAACAGATGTCATGATCTTAAGCAATCATAGAAATTCCATCCACTTGACATCCAGTTGTGTATCTTCAGCAAAGCCAGGAGATTAGAATCACAATATCTAACTTCTACAGATCCATCAGTCTATAGTCTAAATATATATATGGTTTCTACAGAACCATAAAACTTCTACTGAACTGTTACGGTGTCATAACAATAGACAACTTCTACTGAACTGTTACGGTGTCATAACAATAGACAACTTCTACTGAACTGTTACGGTGTAATAACAATGTACAACTTCTACTGAACTGTTACGGTGTAATAACAATAGACAACTTCTACTGAACTGTTACGGTGTAATAACAATGTACAACTTCTACTGAACTGTTACGGTGTAATAACAATGTACAACTTCTACTGAACTGTTAGAAATTGAGAAATCTGTATTTCTTGATCTGAAGCTCACACCTGCACTCACTCATGTCCACACATATAAATAATACTTTACAGTTTTCTGTGTTTGTGATGAAATTTGATTGTACAAAAATAGGCATGTTAACTGTATTTGTTTTGACCTTGACAATTTTTTAAGGTCACAGAGGAGAAATGTAGAAATTATTGACAATGTTGACTTATTTGAACACAACTACTTTTCTACATGTGTAGGATACAGAGAATGCTTTACAAGATACGGAAGATCAGTTACTGAAAGAGAAGACTAAAGGTGATATACGGGACAAAACTATCAAAGGTCTTCACACTGTTATCACTGCAAAAGCCAAAGAGGTAAGTCTACCTGATGATGAACATAGGCCTTCACAGTTAGAGTTTCTAAAGGTGAAGTAGTGAAACTGCTTATTGCCCTCAACATTTCATTGGGGTGTCAAGTGTATTCCATGCCTGTTAGTCTCATTGTGTTATGTTATATCAAATTAGGCCATGATCAGTTTTGAATCTTTGTCATATTGTGAGAAACTCAAGACAAATTGATTCATATTAACCCCATAATGTCATAACATCAAATTCTACACCTGGTTAGATGCTGGTTTGTATGGGCACATTGGTATTTGTATATTATAGATGTTTTCTGGTTATATACATATTTTATAGAAGGAAATGTCGATGTTTGATAGAAGATGACTTTGTTTCTACTTACATATGGTTTCACACAAGTGAAGGTATAGAACATATCTGGTTGATTATCTTAGTAATGAAACAAAGAAGAAATTCTACCCCATTTAGCGTGACAAAGTCACTTTTGTTGTTCGTTATGTCTGCTTAGTTAAACAAGGGTATTTTAGATACCAGGGCTTTTATAGAGGTAGGAGGGGAGTGGGGGGGCTTTTTGTTCCATTGGTGAGGCACCCTTCCTTATTGAAATTCATTCATATTTAGGCCAAATTCCTATAATTTACAATTTACCTCTGGAAATTTCCTGAAAAACACCCTCATTCTAAACCAATGAATAAAGCCCTGGGTATATTTATTTCCCTGTGTCTGCATGATGGATGAAGGTAAATAATTATTGAAATAGGCCCATCCTGTATCTATTCTGTTTTTTTTCTGATTTCTTTTTTAACCAACTTTGATATGTGGTTTTACACACATTTGTTTAGATGGAAGGTCTTGTGGAGAAATTGAGGGCACGAGATGAGGAGATGAAGAAAATGCAAGAAGAGTTTCAGGATGCAGCAGTACAGCGACAGAAGGTAAGAGTTGATATGCTACAAGTATAGTGGACCAGCATGTATTATTATATTGTTGTTGAATGTATAGATCCATGCTTATATAGTTTTAAATGTGGTTAGAGTATAAACTTGACAAAAGTTGTTTCGAATTTCATTGATCTCTCTTGTTGGCTTGGATAGAAATGTGTAAGGGGCCCTACTGAAGAAAGCCTGAATACTGGGGTAAAGCCTGCTTATTTTGGGGTGGAACCCTGGATAGCTTTGAATGTATATAATGCTGTTATATTGATGATTTAGGGAATGCTTTGCTTTCTACAATAAATTGTGTGAATCCAACATAGATTATATTTGTTACTGATATTATAATTAGTAATGTTTTAGCCCTTTTTGATAATAATTAGAAAGTGATAAATTTCAGTAACTGCAATAATTATCATTTCTGTACGCTTTTTATTAAATCTTGAAAATAGTCACCTGTGCTCAGAAATTTGATCACACTAATATATTTTCGCATGTGTTGTGGCAACTGAAGTTGGTATGTCAACAGAAGCATCATTTAAGCATGTGCGAGATATTGACCATTTAATATTTTATGAATGAAACAATTGTTAGCTTCCTATTAGAGCAGTATGTAGCAGACATTATTTACCAGGGTTACAATTGTTCTTACTGTACTTGTTATGAAACAGACTATACTACCATATGTGTGTTCAAAATGAGTTTTACTTTTGTGACACCATGACTGGATAGGAAATGGAAATTATATGGGGTTGAAATCAAAGCATGGTATTTGTCTGACAGATACCTAGGAAGAAGCCTGGCAAAGGTTGCGAAAATAAATGAAGGACCTTGACCCTTATTCAAGGTCACAGGTTTCAAATTTGTTAAAACCTTGACACAACTTTTCTGACTAAACATAAGGCACATAAGCATGGTTTTTGGCTGATAGGTTCCTAGTGTGAAGCTGGACATATTTAGTGGAAAAGTGTGTCTAGGTCACAGCCCTATAAATTTTGAGGTGAAAAAAATTAACATTTACCCTGAATCCAGGACAAAACTGTAACTATTTAGTGTTGAGTATTAGAAGCTGTTTGTTGTGGAAACTGGTTAAAATTGATTGGATGTGCCCACTTTGAATGCCATTGGTGTGCTTGTTAATGTATTAGTGATAAACATTGATTCTATTTTAATGAACATTGAATACCAGGTGAGCAATACAGACCCATTAGGCCTCTTGTTTTCTGTAATTATAAAACTTGAATGATCAACTTTTTATCAAATTATCCAATTAACCAAGATAGCAGACACTAGATTATGTACAGGGGATGTTTTTAAATAAGCCTGCTAACTACTTTTGAGTCAATATTTACAGTTTGTCCTTTATTAAAACCATTCATTTGTTTCTTGAAGAAAACATGTTCATTACTTGAATCCAGTGTGAAGAGTATTGCCCCTTGTTCATTGTGTTTAACCTATACCTTATATACTCTGTTATCTCTAATTTCCATTTTAATTTGAGGTACTTTTGCGATTTAGTGTCACGTATTTTACTATATACAGATCTATGGCCCTTTGTTACTGGTTACTGCCAAAATGAGATGGGAAACTATGAATGGGAGGTTTGACTTGTTAGAAAGTGATTTTGGATTGATTTTAAGATTACCATACTGTTTAGGTCTGTCTGGTTTTATCCACAGTTTCAAAAAAAAAAAAAAAAAAAGTGGATGCTATGGCCCTGATAAAACAATGCAAAAAAGTTGGTTAATACTTGACCTTTGAACTTCATATGTTAACAGGCAACATAACATTCCTTCAAGTTACCAATTTACTCATATTACAACTAATGGAGGTTTTCTTAGTTTTAAAAATTAACTTAAGGTTAAGAACCAACAGTATGTTTAATAGGTGTCATGCTGGCTGTTTAAAATGGATCCATGTCAACCTTGGCACAACTGCCCTTGAGCATAATGTTTGTCCCTGTACAGCTCATGCATCTAAAACTAAGTCTTACTCATTTAGACTGAAGTAATGATACACAATACTCAGTATGACTGACCGGTCACTGGTATTTAATTAGTGGTACAACCAGTGCTAGTAGGTGACCAAACTGAACTAGATAGGGGACAGTTCCTTTTATCCACTCCAGTTTATATGAGCTGACCAGCCATAAAGACACTTAAAAAAATTACACTTTCATGGACAATGACATTGTCACAACAGCTTTTTACCTTATTTGATAAGGAAAGATGGATGTAATTGCTGGGGAGGGATGGGGGATTATTCTGCACACACACACACCTATTTCAGTAAGATTTACAGAAGTGGGGAGGGGGCAGGGGTTATATTGTGGTAAAATCTGTATATGTAGTTAAGCTCTAACATTCCATTCATTTAGGACTTTCGCGATTCATTTTTTAAACTGTCAGACAAGTACCAAGTTGTGGCTTTACAATGTTGACTGACTTCACCTTGACCATGACCTACCTTGTAGCCTGTTGTGAAAAATTGCCAATACTTTAATTCTAAAGCATGTTGTGCAACCAATACGGAAAGGTGACTAAATGGCTTGGCTTGTACCCAAATTATTTTATTTTACTCAAGTCTGTCCATCCGATACCTCAGTAGTCAAAGTTAGTGTTTAAGGTCACATTCATCAAATGATGACGTTTATATTCACAGACTTTTTCTGGTTCCAGTTTTAAGCCCACCATCGGATCATCAGATAGTCAACTATTCAAATCACTCTATGATCTGTTCATTTGTCCGTTAGCAATTCTATATTTCTATAAAAGTACTTGGAGGATGAACCGTTCTTCAATTGTTTATGTCGGTTTGTCTTGGTCCCTAGTTGGGACTGATCTGAAAAATGATATGCCAGACAGGTAGCTATCTTGGAATTTAACAGTTATTGTGGGTGTTTGTCTTTGCTATTTTTGGAAAAGTGCTTTATGGATCATTTTCAAATTTCTTATGTATGTTCACATAGGTCCCAGGTTGTGATGTTAACTTTGAAAAAACAAACAGATGGCTATGCTGGTTTTTAACAGTAATAATCTTTAACTTTGCCTTGGTCCTTGTGCCCTTTTAATTTTGGTACTGCTCAGAAAAACAAAATGGCTGACTGGCAACCATCTTGGATTTGCCTGTGAAAGATTATTATCACTAATTCTTAACTGTTTTAATCACTTTTTCACAAGAACCAACAAAAAACTGAACTTGTTTAGTAGTATATTTGCTATATTTGCATGCCTTATCTGAAGGTTGGTGGTATAGTCATTGACAATTGAACTTGGTTACCACTCCTTAAGGTTATATGCTGATATGCTACTATGAAATAGAGATACGATGTTTGTGTAAATTGATTGTTTGTGTTCAATATTTTGTTTGTTATATTGTTTTTTATGTTTTCTTTTTTGTTGTGGTGGAACATGCAAATCAAATTTTGATTTTGAATTCATGCTTTTGACTTTTGACAATTAAAGAGATAAAGTTTTTAAGTTTCATTTTTTATCCCATTAATTTGAAATAAGTCTTCCCTCTCTTCCCTTCCAACCTCCAATCCTCCATCCAATAATTTGATAAGAAGGGATACTTTGACAAAATTTTAATCATAAGTGAAAATGAAATACAAAATACATATATGTACATGAAAAAACGCTTATTTCAAAATTCATTTGAACAGAATTTGCTTTGAATGTGTTCCACGTAATTTACAAAAACTTTGTCTAACATGTGTTGTTCTGCATGGATGTATTAGGAGTTAGATCGCCAACATGAAGAGATCAACATGTTGGAGCAGAGAGAGGCCAGTGCAAAGGTTCGCCTGACAGAACAAGAAAATGAACTTGAGGTAATCTGGTGTGTGAGGCACCTTTCTTCATAACTGGTGGAGGAATATCTTAATGACTAAGTATAGCACACCAGTAGATAAGATGAAAATCACTTCACCTAAACAAACACTATGGTGATTTATGTTTTTGTGAAATTCCTCCTATAATGATAACAAAAAGATAAAATCAGAGGTTCTTTCTTGCTAAACATGCTTTATTCATCATGGCAACATCATCTTAAAAGCTAATTTGGAGTCAGCATATATTTTATAAGATTATAGAAATTTGACACATGTATCTATTTAATGGACTAAGTGTATGCCTCAGTCAGATACCAAAACCAATTTCAAACATTTGATTTATAGAAATTCTATATAGATTTAGCTTGATTGATATACATGTGGTCCCTGATTGCATCACCACATGTTAACACCTTACCAATGCACTGTAAACAGATATGGTAATTTTTTAGATTCAGTTCTGATGTTCATGAACTTCATTTTTTATTTGCTGTAAATATATCATTTAGATAAATGAAACTTTTTTGCTACTGCTCAGATAGGACTCAATATGCTTTAGTTTCATTTTCATAATGTTTTAGTGATAAATGTGCTCAGCATAGATGGTCAAATACTGAATGGACTAGGGGTATTTCTATAAATTGTACCTGGCTGAACTGACCACAAGATTTGATGCTGACAACACTTTTCATGAATAGGATGGGTTCTTAAAAAATAGGGGACATTCAAAAGTGTAACTTGTCTAGAACATCCCTGATATAGATGTAATAATAAGATAAAAAAAACCCAAAATTATGGAGGTAGAAAAATGTTGCTATAAAAACATAGTTGTCTTTTTTTTTACTGCACTTTACACCTTTATGCATGTTTTTAAACATAGGCCAGTGGAGTGAGTTGCTTTCAATTTACTAACAAACAGAAGCATCTTATCTTGCATCTATGGCTTAATGAAGTGGCGTAGGTGTTCCTATATCAACAATGCTGGGTCAATAATGCTTGAGAAAGCCTCTTATGTAGGCCAAAAATATAAATCTGTTATAGTCCCCAGGTAATTTCTGTCTCCATGATGTAACATTAAGGAATAGTTTTTTGTGAGGGTACTGCTCTGCTTTTTTTAACTTTGGATTGCATGGATTTGTTTTTGTTTTTTTTGTACAATGATATCGAAATTAATAAGGAATGCATATATGATTTTTAAAATGTTTGACATTGAAATGTTATTTCAATATGTTGTTTTCTTTATAGGATTTGTTTCTTCACTAATATCTGTTTTTTCCAATTTGTTAATTTTTTCTTATAGAAACTGTGTCCTTGTCACATTCTGTTAACATTTATAAAATCTGTTAATGTCTTCAATACACTCAAAATTCTAAACTAATGCGATGGAAGGTATGTGACTGTCAACAGCTATTAACAAAGACAAATTTTACTTTCGGAAAAGGATGACATTTCCCGAGTGTTATGTTTTCCCCCTGAGTATAAACAAAGTCCCCATAAAGAAAAAGGTACTGAAACTGAAAATAGAGACAACTTTCTCCTAATCAGAGGTAATTAGGTTTTTTTTTCTTAACACGTTTTCAAATCCTGCTCTCTAAAAAAAATATCAATCTAACCTTAACATTATCTTATCTTGTTCATATAACTTTCATGTAAGTCATTAAGTTTTACCCCATCCCTCTTTTGAATTGTGACCATAATGGCTGTCCGAAATGCTTTCATTTCTCAAAATAACCCCCAAATTCCCTTTCTTCTACAATGGGTAATATCCCCCAATTTCTAGATTAATCCATCGTCAATATCATAGAGCTCACTGGAGTTCTACCTCACAGGACTGTAGATCATTACCATTAACTGTGTAGTGGGACAGACAACTTTACTGGGGATTTGTCTGGGAAAGATTAATAATTGTTATTGGCATGAAACATGAAATTTATCTTTGGAAGGAAGAAAAACAATCTTGAAATTTTAATAAATAATTAGTAAAAACATTGCACCTTGTCCAAAATTTCTCTTCAATTTAATCTTATTTTGAATGAAAACAAAATTGAATTTAGATAATTTGTCCACCTGCGGTGTCCAGAAAATTCTAATTTTTAGTCGAAACGTAAATACCTTTACATTTATTTTGATGGAAAGGATTCACCTTAATCCCCACTAATCCAGGTGGATTACTGCCTTTTGGTCTCTATTCTGTTTCTTAATCCACCAATCAAGATTGAGTGAATTACAGGTTAATGAGTATTAAATTCTTATCTATATCAAACACTTGTACAACAAATAACTTATCCTCACCGTCCCGATTAGGGACATTGTGTAATTTTTTGAGGCCATGTCAAGGGGAAACATAAAAAAATTTTACACCTGTATCCATATATATATACGTGAATCAGTAGAAATTCTAAACTATTGAAGTTTGTTAAGTGCTAATTTTTCAGAGTGACTTCAGCAGTTTTATATTAAAAGAAATAAATCAGTCTTTTTCTATTACATAAAGAGTAAAGGTATGAATATAACCCTGATCAGTATGATGGTAATTAAACTATAGTTATTCCCGTTTGGCCCCAGGACAGCAAAGGTACATATAGATAATTACATCTCCTATACAGGTAAATCTGTAATCCTAAGAATGATTGATCAACAATTAGTGATAAATTATTCATCAGGTAGCTCCCCACACATAGCTGGCCAGTAATGCACATAACAGGCCAATACATTTAATTAGACCTTGCAGGTTGTCAGAGGCACAACTACTGTAGGCCTTACCTTAGTACTGATATATACCTTTGAAAAACTACTTGAATTTTGGATCGCATTGGACATTCCTCTATCGGTTTATGTCAGAATTTACCAGATTGGAATAATTCAGTTCTGTTGATTTTGGATGCAGAGAAAAAAATATCTAGTGCACACCTGTCTTGGAAGAGAAGTTTTCAGCATCATGCTTAATGCACTGGTAAAATAGTGCAAAGGTGTTTTGCAAGAGATGTGGAATTTAAGGATCAGCTGAATGAAGTTTTACAATGCGATAGATCAACATGGGAAAGTGTTGCAGATGAAGAACAAATTTTTGCTTTTTGGAGACAGAATTTTGTTTCCCCCCTTTTTTTACTTTAAAAATGTAGATTAATATTGTGAACATCACTTAGTAAAAAATGGATTTGGACATTACTTTGTGTGAGCAAAATGGAACAAGTTTGTCAATATCAATGATATATAAAACCTAAGATGGAGGGGATTTGGGACGAGATTATGTGGGAGGAAGAGCGTACCTTACTAGGACTAGAGGACGACTATGTTCTCTACTCACAGAACCTGATGCGGTCACTTGGTCGTAAGGAGGGAGAATTAGAGGGTTTCAAAGAGCTGCTCAGTAAGGCACAGAATGCTTTGCAACAGAGTGAGGATGCTGTAGAGGTAGGCATTTCTTTATTGAATTTGTTGTTTTAACAAAGGCATTGTTTACAGTAGAATTGTAGTTTGATGATATTCTGTATATATCAGGTTCCCAAAACACACCAGGAGGACAGTAACAGGGTGATGATAACCATTCATTGTTTCCACTTAGTATTGAACTTGTGGTTTACATCAATTTTTAGGTCACCTAACATTTCAGGGTGACCTATTGCGACCCCCTTTTGTCCAGCGTCATGCATTGTAAACTTTTAACATTTTCGACTTCTGGAAAACCCCTGAACCAATTTCAATGAAATTTTACAAAGATCTCTCATGGCTTAAAAGCACCAAAATTGTAAATCATATGGTCCCCAACCCCAAGGAGCCTGAGGGGCAGAGCCTCAAATTGATTGAAACTTTAAAAATCTTTTTCTCAAATGCCAGGTATGTTAGAATCAAGTACTCTTCATGGATGAAAAGGCTTCAGATGCTTTACCAAGATTGTAAATTCCATGACCCCAGATTCTCACATTTACCGCTTGGGAGGGGGTAAAGTTTACTATAGTTTATATAGAAAAAAATCACATTTTATAATATTATTTGTATATATTCTATTGGAAATAGTTCAAACCTGAATATATTTATTAGTTTAAGATAATAGTTTAATGAGATGCAAATATTGACCTTGGCTTGCCCCCCAGGGGCTGATTGGCGAGGCCAAATGGGCGTCAAATTGACTAAAATTTCAAATGTTCTGTTACTGAATGGAAAATTCTACATAGGAAAATTCAAATCTTCAGTGAAATTTCTTTTAATTCAAACTTGGTTAGAAGCCTTAGCTCGGGACAGCAGTTAATGTTACACAATTCACATTTGCATTATGTGTACAATATCGTTAAAGTTATGTTGCTTTTTTAAAAATAATTTCTATGACATGTTACAAGAACCATCGTAACTCAGGTGACAGTTAAGGCCCATGGGCCTCTTGTTGTTGAGTATTTAAGTTTGATAGATTTTGTGCCTTTTTGTTTGTTATGATATAGATATTTAAAATAAAACAACTGAATATTATTCCATACTTGAGTTATGATATAGGTATTTAAAAACTGAACTGAATATTATTTCAAACATTAATATGAGCAAATTTACTAAATAATGTGTTGTCCATAAAATATGAGAAAGAACAATTCTTTTATAGTACTGCTAATTTATTTTGGTAAGAGAGCAAACTAGAACAGCAATGTTGAATAAGAAATGAGCATCCTATGTTATTGTGATGCCAGTTTCCACTCTGAATTATTGATAGTCAGAGAGCGTTGTTCTTCAAAGGAAAGATAATAGTGGGGTGAAGGTTGGATTTATTGATGAAAGATGTGGTGATGGAGGTTGGTGGAATCATAATGTAAAATGCCACACAAAATTTCAGTTTATTTCACTGTTAGGAGAAGTAAGAGAAATAGAACTTAAAACTCTTACCTTATCAACCTAGCAAGAGGCTAACAAAATCTTTGCTTTAAGTGGGAGATTGGACAATCAAAAAAACATTTGTCCGTTTTTTAATTTATTTCTTTTTTTTTAAAACTGCAAAAGTTATATTTGATCTTTTTATGTGATGCAAGTCTCCTGTTACCAGGTAAATACAATACAAACATGGTGATACATTAATTACAGATATTGTTCAGTTGGCCTAAATTCAAAGTATGATATATTGATATTCTGATGTATACTATTAAAATGTATTGTAACTTATTTACAACAGAGTTGTTTGTCATAACTATAACCTTCTGAAACTTAAAGACCCTGTTCTTTATGTGTGTTTTGTTGACCACAGGTTCTACAAGACCAACTAAAGAAGGATCGAGTGCAGTCGAATCCCTCATCAGCTCACAGTAGCCCAGTCAAACACTACAAGGTATGTACTGTAGGATACCTGTCTTGTTCAGTGCTTGTTAAGTAGAATAGTCAAGATTGTTTGTCCATATTTGCCCTCTCAAGCATGTATAGGACAAGATCTTCTGTCTAAACTCAGTCTTGTCAAGCACTATAGGGTGGGATGGTCAAGAATATGGGTCCAATATGATGTATTCATATAGAAATATATTTCATGAAAGGAATGGATACTTGTTACACGTGTCATTCACAGTAATCTGTAGGTATGGTATGCTGGATACTTGTGACACGTGTCATTCACAGTAATCTGTAGGTATGGTATGCTGGATACTTGTGACATGTGTCATTCACAGTAATCTGTAGGTATGGTATGCTGGATACTTGTGACACGTGTCATTCACAGTAATCTGTAGGTATGGTATGCTGGATACTTGTGACATGTGTCATTCACAGTAATCTGTAGGTATGGTATGCTGGATACTTGTGACACGTGTCATTCACAGTAATCTGTAGGTATGGTATGCTGGATACTTTTGACACGTGTCATTCACAGTAATCTGTAGGTATGGTATGTTGGATACTTGTGACACGTGTCATTCACAGTAATCTGTAGGTATGGTATGCTGGATACTTGTGACACGTGTCATTCACAGTAATCTGTAGGTATGGTATGCTGGATACTTTTGACACGTGTCATTCACAGTAATCTGTAGGTATGGTATGCTGGATACTTGTGACACGTGTCATTCACAGTAATCTGTAGGTATGGTATGCTGGATACTTGTGACATGTGTCATTCACAGTAATCTGTAGGTATGGTATGCTGGATACTTGTGACACGTGTCATTCACAGTAATCTGTAGGTATGGTATGCTGGATACTTTTGACACGTGTCATTCACAGTAATCTGTAGGTATGGTATGCTGGATACTTGTGACACGTGTCATTCACAGTAATCTGTAGGTATGGTATGCTGGATACTTGTGACACGTGTCATTCACAGTAATCTGTAGGTATGGTATGCTGGATACTTTTGACACGTGTCATTCACAGTAATCTGTAGGTATGGTATGCTGGATACTTGTGACACGTGTCATTCACAGTAATTTGTGTGGACATGTGCAAATGATTTTTACAAGATTATTTCATCTTCTCTACTGGGAAGAATTGTAGATTGTGATAAAACCTTGACCTAACACACCACCATTTTTTTACCTTGACTGAATTAAAATAAAGTTATAACTTCAAGATTGTGTATAATAATTTCTCATGAAGAACTAGCCTTCCTTGCTCTTTGTTAAGAAGATGGTTTGCAGATCGTTAATGTCCTTTTGAATTTAAAAGGAAGACAAAGTACGGACAATCTCTAACTGGAAATCTCTCCATAAATCATGCTGTGACAGACTTTCCGAAGCCAAACACTTCTTAATCATTCAAGTACTAGTTTATGGTGCTGACCAAGTGGTAGAATAATGCATTCAAAGTAATTTTAAAGCTTGTTTAAATATTCATTGATTGTTTAATTTACATTTGTTTTTGCAAATAAGGCAAAAAAAAATGTGAAAAGTAATCACTTCAATACAAATATTTTTTTCTGTGTATCTAAAATTTACATTAGTATCAAAGGTTGGGTATTTGTTTTTTTTACACATATATGTAAGGACCAATTTCCAGGTCTATAACTGTAAATAATACAATGTGCTTTTAAAGCCATCATGAAATGATCAGTTCTACTTTGAAATAAAGTCTCATAAGATATTAAAATGGGTGAAAAAAAATAAATAAATAAAATTGGAGTTATATCATCATGCCAAGATACATTACACAGTACAAAAAACAGCATGTTCACTTATGACGGTTATTTCATGAGGATAAACTAATTCATGGTGTAAAGTATATCTGGGACAGAATACAATGATGTAGATCTGACATTTAATTGTGAAATTGAATACTACCAGTTTCATTTTACTTCAGAATCATTTATAGTGTATTTTCATTGGTCTCAGATTACCACAATGTATTGTTCTATTTAGAAAAAAAAAACCTGGAGAGCTAATCAGTTCTTATCCTTCAATATTTATTTTACAACAATTTTGAATTTTGAAACATAATATATATGCATAAGTATATATAGATACATTGATTGCTGTGGAAGCTTTGAGTGGGTCTTACTGTGGAATAAAACTGAGGTTTTATGTAGTCAGACAGATGACCTTTGTACTTTTTCACAGTTGATCAGTGTATCAGAGCCATTTCACCTTGGAAAAAGGAGAGCATGGTGCCTCTGCACCCACCCAACCCAACCTTCCATACATCTGTGTAATACCCTGCTCACAGTCATAATAGTTTGGGAGTATTAAGATTAATCAACATTATGTAACAAGTTATGAGTGTTTCTGAAGTAAACTGAAAGTATGTTGTTGGTATTAAAGCTTCCTATTGGCCACATTTTAAACAGTGTGGAAAAGTACCCCTGTAAGTTGACTAACTCATTCTCTACAAAATCCGGTCTGACCTTACGACTATCACTTGTCTGATTCAAGACTTACTTGATCTGGTAAATTGTCAAAACAATTTGGATTCAATAAACAGGAGAAAAATGTCATTTTCTCTCTATTGTCTTATAAAAAGTGATTTAATTTTTTGTAAAATGCAAAACTTTCAAAGTATGATCAAAACCTTTTTTAAGCCCACTAATTCAGTAAAATGTCTCTGGATTCATAAGTTATTAGTTCCTGATATTGTTGTACATCTAAATGGATATAGGTGTGGGATTACCAAGATGAAAATTGCTGATCTGTCAAAGTTTTGTCAATGAGTAATTCCAATTGTAAGTTGATATATAAAACATCAGAGATAGCACTGCATTTGTCTTTGTAATCCAAAGGTTTTCTTGGGCATGGTTTGTCATTGAAAGAAAAATCTTCTAAGTAGCTCTTATCTGAGAAATCATTCATTTAAGGTAAAGAATATTTTATATTGTTCTAATAAATGTTATAATTAATTGTGTTATGTTAAAAATATGTACAAATGCTTTGTAGAATGTACAAAAATACGCAAAGTTTACTTACTGATAATGGTAATGTTAAGATTTTCATAAGTGATATCTTATGGTGAATATTGTGGTTTGTACTAATGGTGTTGTCAAACAGTAGGAGGCCAAAACTTGTAGATGGTCACCATATTCAAAAGAGATATAAAACCATACAGTGTTGTAGGAGGATAGCTGGGGTCTCTTCTGTTAGCTTTGTAGAAACCTAAATGAAGGGGCTGTACCAGTTATGATAATGGAGTATTTACTGTCTGTTTAATGGCTACCTTTCATCTAACTGATCTCTTAATTTGTGATTCATTGAATTATAAATCATGGTGGCAGTGTAAGGTGTAACCTATGTCACATAAAAAAAAACTGTTGTTGTAGTATATCTAGTTTTTAACTCCCCAAGTCAAACTAGTGCGAAAGAAGTATCATAAATGACCTCAATCACATGACCACTGCAACAACATTATTAATGGCATGGAAACATGACTGTTCTACTTGACAGGTTTCACTATGTGTAATGAATGTTTCTTTTGATTTAAACCAAGTTATTATTGGCATCAGAATGCAGTATGCATAGGAAATATACTGGTAAAGTATTGAACTGCTGTGATATGGCGTTCATGGTCATTATGAATGGCAGAACTCTCTAGACAAACATCAGATTGTTCTAGCACACAATATTTCAATGTTTAAACATTACCGAACAGTACCCAAGTCATAGCACCAAAGTGGTATACCAATCAGTACCCAAGTTGAAGTACAAACGTGGTATACAAAACAGTACCCAAACGGTAGTATCAGGGAGGTATACAAAACAATGTCTGAATTGTAGTACCAAAGTGGTATACTAGACAGGACCATCGTTTAGTACCACTGTGGTATATCAGACAGGACCGCGGTTTAGTAGTAGAGTGGTATACCAGACAGGACCGCCATTCTGTACTAGAGTGGTATACCAGACAGGACCGCGGTTTAGTAGTAGAGTGGTATACCAGACAGGACTGCCGTTCTGTACTAGAGTGGTATACCAGACAGGACCATCGTTTAGTACTAGAGTGGTATACCAGACAGGACCGCCGTTCTGTACTAGAGTGGTATACCAGACAGGACTGCCGTTCTGTACTAGTGGTATACCAGACAGGACCGCCGTTCTGTACTAGAGTGGTATACCAGACAGGACCATCGTTTAGAATCAAGATGGTATACCAGACAATACCCAAGTTGTAATACCACTGTTGTAAAACAAACAGTACTTTATGTTTTAATTGTAATATGTATCATTCTATTGAAGGACATGCTGGACGAATCACAGAAGCTAGTTAACGAAAAGGACAACACTATCCACCAGCTAAATGATGCATTGAAAGATAAGGAAAAACAACTACGCACATGTATGGGTATCTTCGATACACCACAGGTATTACTTATTACATATCTCCAAGGATTTCACATGTCAATGTTTCTGAAATTATCAAAATGACCTTTAGGAACATTGAAAGCACCTGTGTATTTAAGTGAGCAGGTATTAATTAGAAATATTTATAGGAACCTATCGTGTACTTTTATCCATAAATTTCATTATCCAAAATTTCATCTGAATGACTTGACAAAATAAGGTGGCTTAAAAGTACATTATTTATGTTTTAAGTACACTGTTCAGATTAGCTTAAATAGTGTATGGATTATCTGGGGAGATATATTATGGCTGTAATGAGCTTCGTGAATTAGGAAATATCATAATTTTATTATAAGTCTAATAAGATTACACAACTTTTTTACAAACATGTGGTCTGAAAACTGTATAGACTATATACATGTAATATGCTTTGTAGATTTTGTCAAAAATAAAGTGTTACATACACCTGGCACCATGTCACAATCACTTAAGTACTTGTGAACTTAAATCTGACAGATGTATAATACATATATATATATATATATATAGATGTAACTTAATAATGCTTTGTGTATCGATAAGATATTCGAAAAGAATGAAATCAACATGGCAAATATATTCCGCTAACGTTTTCAGGCCTAACAGCCATCTTCAGGCGATAAATTTATTATAATGTCTTGGTAACAACATTGTGACATCATACATAAGTATGCCTACAAAGTGACTTGGTATCCTGCCCTGTAAGAAATGAACAGTTTGTCTGGTTATGCATTTTGAAAAATGAAGTGTTTTTCAATTGACTTAAAATTTACTTCACACTTTCTTTGAATAATACCATGTAATATAAATATAGGTTTTTGTCTTGTTTTTCGAAAAATTTTGGTTGCCATGGTAACAGGTTTTACTATAAATAGCCATTACTTCTTGGTCATTCAACAGATTTCATTAATTGACTATGATCAAATGGCATATCTAATTGAAACCTGTAGTAAGATACATGAAGTGTTTCAGAAACAGTTCCTATACCAACACAATCCTGGCCTCTGATCGGTCAAACTTAAGATATTGTCTTATTTTGACCAAGTTTGGAATCAAGAAGCATTTGGTGATGCCAAACATCATTGTTTTTCATTGTCATGACAACCATACTGAGGTCTGATTGGTTTAAATTTAGATATTGCCCAATTTTGACCAAATTTGGTTTATAGTGGCATTAGGGGATTCCAAACATCACTTGATATGTTTCATTGTCATGACAACTATACTGAGGCAAATTGTGACCTGTTATTGGTTGAAATTTAGACATTGTCTGAGTTTTACGTAATTTTGTATACAAAGGTAGTTTTGACCACATTTGGTATATAAAAGTCTTTGTGTCGGGAGAGGGTATTCCTAAGGATGACGATTTTAGATGTTTTTGTACTAAGGATGTAATACATTAGGACATTGTATGATCAGTGTACTTAATATTAGCCGATTTGATGTTACAAGGAACAAAAGAAAAATGCAACAAACGAAGGTTGTGACAAAACTAACAATGATTTCCTTTACTGCTTTAGATAATAAAGAGACGAATATCAATGCGTCTGTGTTACAAGAACATGCTACAACAGATATTATTGTGAAGATAGTTGCTAGCTATTTGTAAAGATGGTTGATGTATTTTACCCTACAATTTAGTTAAAAATGATAATATGTTATTGATGAAGGAGGTAGCCAGTGGTGAAATGATGGACAAACTGACCAGACAACTGAAGGAGAGTGACCTTGCACTAGCTGTAAGTTATCAAACCATTCTGCTCGTTCATATTCCCATTTGTTTATCATTAGACCTTGTTTAAAAAACATTCTCGTGATGCACCCACTTGCATCAAAGTTGGAAGAGGGAATTGAGTGGATATTTCATAATACTTTATATATTTGTCATTAAGTCCATGTCTACATATTTGTCATTAAGTCCATGTCTATATATTTGTCATTAAGTCCATGTCTACATATTTGTCATTAAGTCCATGTCTATATATATGTCATCAAGTTCATGTCTGTATATCGTCAACAATATATCATATCCTGCATTAAGCCAATCTCAAGCTCCATACTTTGAGCCAGAGTTGAGGTAATGGTTCACTTATTGTCAGATATTCACTCTATAGGAAAATAGTTATATAACCATCATGGAATGTGCAAATGGAAAAATTTTCATTGAATTATATAATTATTCAGTAGACAGATTATGTATTAACCTCAAAATGGTTTGCTTGAGTTTCTTGGACTAAAAAAGGATTCTTGGTCTTGATGTAATTATGGTATTTAATTGTATTTTGTCTTTGTTCCACCAGAGGGCATTAGATGAACATACAAAGGTGGTCACAGAGAAAGAAAAGAAGTTTGAGGAGTTAAAGCTGGCCCTGAGTGACAAGGAGGCAGACATTGCCAGGGCTAATAAGATGCTCATTACTGCAGAGGACACCATTGATGTAGGTTCCTTGTTCTCTCCTCAGATAATCAACTTTAGATCTGTTCACATCTTAACTAATTCTAGTATTGTCTAAGTTCTACCAATTTTTACTAACTGTAAATGATCTACTCACTGCTAGGTTTTGTCACATCCTATCCAGTATTAGCCTTGACTGCATTTTATCCAGTACTAGGGTAGCCCACATTTGTCCAACATCCTACCCAGTGTTGGCTTAGCCCACACTTGTCCCACATCCTACCCAGTAGGAGCTTAGCCCACACTTGTTCCACATCCTACCCAGTGGTAGCTTAGCCCACATTTGTCCAACATCCTACCCAGTAGTAGGGTAGCCCACACTTGTCCCACATCCTGCCAAGTAGTAGATTAGCCCACACTTGTCCAACATCTTTCTCTGTGGTAGATTAGCCCACACTTGTCCCACATCCTACCCAGTAGTAGCTTAGCCCACACTTGTCCCACATCCTATGCAGTAGTAGCTTAGCCCACACTTGTCCCACATCCTAACCAGTAGTAGCTTAGCCCACACTTGTCACACATCCTAACCAATATAAGCCTTGCCTGCATTTTATCCAGTAGTAGGGTAGCCCACACTTGTCCCACATCCTTCCAAGTGGTAGATTAGCCCACACTTGTCCCACATCCTGCCTTGTGGTAGCTTAGCCCACACTTGTCCCACATCCTGCCAAGTAGTAGCTTAGCCCACACTTGTCCCACATCCTAACCAGTAGCAGCTTAGCCCACACTTGTCCCACATCTTTCTCTGTGGTAGATTAGTCCAAACTTGTCCAACATCTTTCTCTGTGGTAGATTAGCCCACACTTGTTCCACATCCTACCCAGTAGTAGCTTAGCCCACACTTGTCACACATCCTACCCAGTAATAGCTTAGCCTTGCCTACATTTTATCCAGTAGTAACATAGCCCACACTTGTCTCACATCCTGCCCAGTAGTAGCTTAGCCCACACTTGTCCCACATCCTACCCAGTAGTAGCTTAGCCCATAGTTGTCTAACATCCTAGCCAATTGTTGCTTTGCCCACATCATACCCAGTAACAGCCTTAACCACATCCAATGCATTAAAGAGATTTGCCTATATCCTAACAAGTTGTAACCTCGCCTTCACCTCACACAATAGAATCCCAAGAAGTGACACTTTCTTTACCCACACTTAACAATAGTGCAGACATGTAAAATATTAAATTACTGAATTTTAGTGGTCCACAAGGTAAAATGTTTAAAATGTTTTGAAGCAGTACTGTCTGCCAAGTCAAGTAAGGATTTGCTCTGCAGTCAAAGGTGAATGTGCCAACTTATTCATCATTACATGACCTATTGGAAGTCAATTATTGAATTTCTGCAAGGTATTGGTGGTAGCTGGTACAGCCCAGGTGCATAATACAGAAGAGTTTTACAAAGAGATTGTGATAGTAAGACATTGCATTGTTGAGTGGTGAAGTATTTATGGACTAGAAGTACCACTAACAGCCCAGATTGTGTTGTGTTTATTGTATTTATTGTGTATGCACCTTTCTTACAGACATACATTTTGTTTTTACTGGTTAAGTTTTGTCCATATATGATTGCTGTAATCAACTTGCTTATTTTTATTCTGTAGAATTAGAGCTGTTGAATTAACCACTAAATTATCATTTTCTTTTTCATTAGTGTTTGGAGAAGGCAAACAAGGAGAAAGAAAACAGTTTGAGCAAAGCCACAGACAGAATGAAAGCTGCTGAACAAGCATTAGAGGTATACATCTGTAAATTGGGGCATTGCTCTCAGCGTTGGTCTAATAGTGATAAATTAAAACACTGATAAATAGAAATAAAAAGGACCCTATGAAATATTTGTCTTATTTGATGGTTCGACTTAGCCGTGTTTCTGTGAATAGAGACATTGTGCAATGAAGATTGACCCTATTTTCATAGGTTGTTTACTGGAGACATGTCTCAAAGCATAGCATGATGGTAATGAATAAGTGATAAGCACCCACTGTCATACTCATAACTTAGGAAATCCATACCTAAAGCAAAACAAGTATTCTACTCACATTTATATCCTAAGTGTAACAAGTCCCGTCAACAATATTTTAAAATAAAACTCAATGAATATGTACTCATGAATGTTCTCGAATGATATAACATGGAAAGCACAGAGATTGGTTACAAAAAGGCAAAGGCCACAACAATGTCAATGTCTTAGAGTGTATACCGTTAAACAGAATAAACTAAAACTTGCAGTTTGTATATCTACATGTACGTATATCCAGTAAATGTATTTAATCCTAAAATAATGTGTCAGAGACCAACCAGTATTTTCATTGATCTGAATCGGGGCTGAAGTTATCGCTTGTTTTCCAGCAATGATACGCATAAAAAAGTAAATAGAACACAGTCGATGTAGGATTAACAGACTGCATTGTGTTTTATTTAAAGTTTGGTTGTCTTATTCTTTATGAATTCAAATTTCACCAGTGCACGTGTTAAAATGCAGAGATTAATGTTCGATCCAGACTTACAATAGGACTCACTAACACAGATAGGACATACCAATCACACTCTGTCAATCAAACCAAAACCAGGAAATTTTTACCCGAGACCAGGTGACTCCTGAATGTTTGAAACAGAAAAGGAAATTTGGTAGATTTTCAAAAGGATGGTCTACAAAACATATTCAACACATACAATATTCAACTCAACACTGTTCGAATCATCAGTGTTTAATTAACTAAAATAAAAAAGAGAAAAAATTGGAACCAAACTCATTCAATGTATTAGATTCAAAAGTGTTCAACACAAGCAAGTTTCACTTAATTTCACATATGTCTTGTTTATGCTACATACATTTATTCACCTTGATAAGGAAAGTATCTAATAGTTTAATATTTTATAGACAGTGTATATACAAAATGGTTTTTTTTCTTTAGTAGATTTAGTACAGTTATTGTAAGACCATCAGAATGGGATAGAGTATATCATAACCATACTGTCGTTAAAGTTAGAAATTTTATCCTTTTGATATTTGTGATTTATGAAGAATCTTACAATTTGCTATATCAAATGTTTTACTTTTTTCATAGGATGCCAAGCAGAGTTACAGACAGGCTCTAGCAGAAAAGGATTCTATCATTGGTCGTCTTCAGGACTCTATTGGGGACAAGGAAGCTCTTCTCAAGGTAAACACAGTTTTCTCCCTTTGATATCAGTCACCGTCATCAACATTTTCTCGAGAACTGACAGTATTTAAAGCAGTTTGGTAATATAATAAAGGAGTTATATAAAGAAATAAAACAGGACATACTCATTGGCAGCAAAGAACTGGTGGAGCAGTATATCTTCTGGAATCTAGAGCAAACCTGATGGTGTTTATCCCAGTGTGTATAGGAGAAAGTAGGTGTGATTGTTTGTCTGAAAAGCTGTGCTATTTATAATGGTTATAAATGACATATAAGACAGGTCAAAACATTTTCAATATGTTTACTGTAGTTTTTAATCCTTGTTATCTAGGAAACAATGAAGAGAGCCCCAATGACAACAGATGAGGTCATGGACTTAAAGAAAACACTTCAGAACAAGGACCGTGCTTTACAGGTGAGTTTGATGATATTTACACAACTTAATTACCCTACAGCAAATATGTTGAAATTTTACAGAAATGACTCTGTGACTGACATTACCCTGATCTGGTTTATTAGGTGACAAAGAGTGCATTCTCTATAGTATTAAAGGGAATAGTGTTATAATGGATCTACTTTGAAATTGATGTTTTCTCAACATTTTAAGACATAGCAGATTTAGTGATTTTACCTCAAAAGCTTAGGACTTGGGATACCTTTTCTGTTTCCCCTTGCAAAATAATTTTTGAAAATTCAACAGATTAAATGAGAAGAAAGACCAATTTCAATGTTTAGTGCTAATTTTCAAATATTGGAAATTGGATGAGATAATTCTACCAGATTTGACACAAAGTAATTTTGATTTAACTTTTATTACAAACTAATTATTATAAATGCTCATCTGATTAAGGACATGATCGATGAGAAAGACAAGACACTGACAGCCAATGCTGAGTGTGTGAACAGCCTGCTGAAGAAACTGCAGTCCAGAGAGGCAGAGCTTGGTCAGATTAGTGACAAGCATAAGAAGGACATTGCCAATATGGAGCAAGAGATGGAGAAAATGGCTGGAGATTTGAGAAAGATGGAGATGGAGCTGAGAAGAAAACAGAATGAGCTACAGGTATATAAGTTTTAACCAGAATTAGTCTCATAAGTTTATCACATTAGCACTGTGTTTATTTACTTTTTTCCCCGATTCAGCCCTGTATTTATCACCTTGTCCATCAATCTGTCTATCCAGATTTTTTTTTATCTTAGTATAAGAAGTTACGAGGGCTGACTGATAAGTTATGAGTCTGTTTTGAAGAAAATGGTAGAGATATCCTTCTTCAGCTCTACTTTTCCCTAACCATTTAAGGCTGAGTACCTGAAGACTGGTGTCATTTGGTCAGTTTATGTCAGAGAGGTAACATTCTATATCCATATGGATATGGCAGTAACACTAGGGAATGATGTCCCTTCACATGCTGCAATGAAAAGGTGGATGGCAGAATTTAAGCGTGGCAGGCGAAGTCTTGGGGATGATGCCCCTCCTGGGAGGCCTGTCACTGTTGCAACCCCACTCCATGATATTGTTATGTCTGACTGGCGAGCTACAGAGAGATATATAGCCAGTGCAGTTGGGATTTCAAAGGAAACAGTACATTCTATTCTTATTTAATATCTTGCAATGAGAGAACTCTCAGCCCATTGAGCAAGACGACAGACAGTTGATCAGAAGCACATCAGGTGGACATTGTCACATGCTAATCTGAACCTTTTAGAGACCGATAACAATGGAAGCACTCTGGTTCACCCCCGCCAAAGAAGGCAAAGACTTTTCCATAACCTGGAAAGGTTATGACCTCAGTTTTCTGGGATGCTGATGGTTTTCTGTGATGGTAGATTATCTGCAAAAGGGACAAACAATCAATGGCACATATTATTCATCACTTAGGCAGTTAAGAGAAAATATTAAACTCATGTGCAGCAGAAAACTTCGTAAAGGTGTGTTGTTCCACCAATACAATGCCCCTGTTCACAAGTCTGCCATTGCCATGGCTGCCATTAACAGTTGTGGCTTTGAATTGATTGAGCAGTCGCCTTATCATCAGTCTTTTTACTTTTTCCAAAATTGGAAAAGGTAATTTTGGGTACCCATTTTCAGTCAGATGATGACATCACACATGCAGTGGATGCCTTTCTAAGCGGTAAAGAAAAGCACATCTTTAAAAGTGACACTGAGGTTCTTAAACATCGCCGACAAAGATGTCTTGATACTGACAGGGATTATGTTGAAATATAATGCAATATGTCTGCCAAAAGTCAAACTCTTAAATATGAGGCTCACAACTTATTAATCAGTCCTTGTATTTCAATTTTAATCATTTTAACAAATTTCAGTATGCACTTAATAATGAAGTTATGCCATTTAAAATCAGTTAAATTTGTAAAACATGCACTTCATCATTGTAAGTTTGGTCAGTTTTCTGGTCCACGTCATTAATTAGACTTTTGCTTTGTGGAAACATCTGATGAAGCACATGACAAGGAGAACCCTCAGGGGATCATCTGAAGTGAAAGGAAAATTGATCTCTCATTTCTCCGTCGATTCTATTTTGCAAAATTTCATGGTGATTTCTACATTTGAATAGTCTGTGTAATTTTAGCATTATTTTATCCAGTCTGCTGATAGCCAGGCCAGTTGGTCACACCAGCAAAGTCAGGACGTTTTGGATAAATTACGAGCTGTCATCTCAGACAAAGACAAAACTGTCAGTGTGAGTTACCTTGTTTATTATGAGCATGTTACCTTTGCTTAACTGAAATATACTGAGTAAGTTACGGATTCATGAACCGGGTTTGCTTCAATTAGTGAGTCAGTAAATGAGTTATGAGTCAAGGAATCAATAAGGAGCAAATTTTGATTAAAGTAATATGTCATTTATGTGTTGTGAGTTGATATTGAGCAATGTGCATATGATACTTGAACATTGGTAATGAACTTGTCAGTAGGAGGTCATATGTTATAAGTAGTTTATGATTTGATGTGAGCTTCAAGTTTATTTTTAGTTGAGGAATAAGGAGGTGTTTGAGTTCAGAATAAAACATTTTTATGTTGAAGTGACTGATGAACACTCTGGGTACAAGTTTAGTGTTAATGTTGATGACAGAATTACTTATTGTCTTTTCAGAGGAAAAAGCTATTTTTGATTTTCTACCAAAATGTTTGATTTGTGTATTCTGCTTTTCAGACGCTGCTGGACAGTGTTCAGGAGAAGGATAAATTGAATGGACAGCTGAGACAAGACCTTCAGAGCAAGGATGGTGAGATCATTAATTCAGTTCTGAAACACTATAATATTGATATTCAGTGGGATATATTTTCAATGAACATGTGAAACCTATTAATCCATGAATTGATATGTCCACAAACTGTTCAAACAGGTATAAGTAGATTTATTTAGCTATATTAATCCACTAAAGGGTGTGTCCATGAAATAGTGATATTGAAAAACCATGAAAAATTGAGTCCCCACAGTAATACAAGAACTAACAATTTTATTAAGCATGGAGATATAATTACTTGTTATTGTAATATAGAAATAATTACAATAATTCTCCTATAGAACTGGTGAAGTGATATTAATAGGTCACCTGCCCATAAATAGAAGGAAGTAAATCAATTCTCATTTGTAACATGTTTTGTCCCACAGATTTGGTGGATAAGCTTCAGGTGCTCTTACGTCAGTCTCAGACAGGCTCTAGTGCAGACCTCAGTAACAAACTTCAGGACCTACAGATAGAGCTGGCTGTAAAATCTGAGGGGTTGAGGAACGCCAGACGAACTGAAGAAGACCTGCGAGAGCAGATTGTATGTATTCAGTGAAATTCTATCTTATCCTTCCTTAGTCAATATTGGTCTCAAGAGTGTGGTTTTGTTGTAAATTATAATATGTGACAAATTTTAGGACTTGATAAAGTTGATACTATAATTTGCAGATGGAAAAAAATGTTTACTATTTCAACTTGCAGCAGGAACTGAAAAAGAAGTTTGATAGTGTACCCAAAGGTGATCGTGAGTACCACACACTTGAGAAAGAAATATACTACCTCAAGGACAAGCTGGAGGGTCATGGATGGACTCCAACGGGCAGTAGTCCAGGGCAACGAGGGTCAGTAGGAGACACTAGTGCTGCTGGTCAGCAGGTAAGAGAACCGCTCAAATTTATCATGTTATCTCTACTGTAAGATGGTCCAGCTTCTAAAAGAATTATTGATTTAAGATATACTGTTAAAGCTTGGAACTTAGGATGTTATGGCTGTCCTTTTGTATACTAAGATTGTGTGGTCACCTTGTTATCAGGACCTGCTGCAGGAGACTTTAGAAGCCCAGTTGGAGGAGCTACGGATGTTAAATGCAGCAGTGAAGAGAGAGCAACATCTATTGGAGGGTATACGAGACAAAAGTCAGGAGAGGTAAGCTTTTTAAGTTTTACTGGTAGGATATTAATACCACTAAGATGAGGGGAGGTAAGCCTGTCAAAACTAAGTAGTGAGGAAGATGTAGAAACTAGAGTAAGAGAGGTAAGCCTGTGATAAATCAGTCAGGGGAAGAAAACCTGTCATAATTCAATGGTGTAAGGGGAGGGAAGACTGTTATAAAATAAATATTTAGTAAGATAGAAGTAGAAATCAGTGTAAAGGGAGGTAAGACTTCTATAAAATAAATATTTAGTGAGATAGAAGTAGAAACCAAGGAAAGGAGGGGATAAAACTGTTTTAACTTACCGATGGGGTTTAAGCTTGTTACCAAAGGCATACCATTATCATTGGCCTTTGAAGTAGTGATTTTGAGTAGCTAGATTTCTCTAGCCATTCTTTTAATGTTGAGTTAAGAAAGACATTTATGAATGTTGAAGGGGAGATATAGTGGTAGGGTTGATAAAATTAATCCTGTAGCTGGCTGTAGGCTTAAAGTGACAGCTATTGGTAGATAGGCTCGTGACAGTACCTCATAGCACTCACCATGGTGTACATTACTCAGCTATAGAAACGGACGTTTTCACCTTATAGTCTGATCAAACAATACACCTACCATTTACAACTTATCATATACTGCTGTATAGTCATCATATACTGCTGTATACTGATCATATACTGCTGTGTAGTCATCCTATACTGCGGTATAGTCATCATATACTGCTGTATAGTCATCATATACTGCTTTATAGTCATCATATACTGCTGTATAGTCATCATATACTGCGGTATAGTCATCATATACTGCTGTATAGTCATCATATACTGCTGTATCATAATCATATACTGCTGTATAGTCATCATATACTGCGGTATAGTCATCATATACTGTGGTATAGTCATCATATACTGCTGTATCATAATCATATACTGATCAAACAATACACCTACCATTCACAACTTATCATAGACTTGATCTATTTATATATTCTCATTGTGAATTATCAAAATATTGACAACAGTGCAATGGCCTCGTAAACAGTATACAGTTATTTACTGGGGTTGAGGGCAACAGATGATCTTCGGCCGAGGGCAACAATTTGCTGAGGGTCCAACAGATGATCTGTTGCCCTCAAGCCCAGTCAATAACTGTTTTGTTATATCCTTCACAAAGATGAACATTCCTGGTATTTCTGCTGTCACGATCGTCTAAGATTCGCTGTATTTCCTCCTCCGATGCCAGACCGAATCTGTCTGCGTCACTAGGCCTACTGGTTGCTATTTTGTTGTGTAGACGATAAGAGAAGATAACTCTAAAGTAAACAAAACATCGTTATCACTTGGGCGTAGTCGTGTGTTTCCGTAAAGCGGTCAACAGTCGATTTTAACAGTCCATTTGGACCGGAGGAAAAAAACAGTTAAACTTTTGACATTTCTTTCTCTATATAAATATATAGGAACTGAATCTATAGGTAATAATACTGTTTACATAGCTCAGCCTATCTAGTGGTTGCCAGTTCATTGCATTCTAGATCTCTCCTAGAGTCTTGTGTTGAAGTAGGTACTCTCTGTCAGACTCTCATTTCTGGCATCCAAGTATTAGCTGACATAGTGAGGGCTGTATATCGATCCTTCTCTGAGGTTGCACACATTGAGTCTGGGGATGGCCAGTGGTCCTTCCCCTATATTGAACATTGACACAAAGCTGATCACATTGTGTAAATGTGTAGGTAAGGCCATCATAATGGACAAAGGGTCAGCATTAAGTTTTGAGATCATGATGACATAGTTTGGCGATGGAAGAACTTTGAGATCCTGGTCCCATGTTGAAAACGTTGTGATTGAATGGGATTAAATTTTGGGAGGAAGAGTGAGAAAATATCAGTTAGAGGCCTCTCCTTGTGTGTTGACCAGTTCTCCCTGCAGGCTGATTAGTTGTCATCAGGAAGAGAGCATTAGTGGTTGCTGCCCTCTGGGGAGGTTTTCAGTTTCTGGTTATTATTTCATTACAATGTTAACAAATATAGATACTTCATTTATCAAAGTAAGATACAAGAATTCTCCAAGATGGCCAGCCCTTCCCAGTCTTTGATCAATCTTTTTAGCTTTTTAGCAAGTTGGATTATTTTTGCTATATGCTGCAGATAGTAAAAATTGTGTTATTATTTCCTCCAAGTTCTCATGCAAAGTCAATATAATAATATAATTTGAACACTTCTTGATCACTTGCAATGCCATGTCTCATTACATAATGAATGTTTAGGTGAGGTTTTCTAGTAATACTGTAAATATACTTAATTTTAATGCATTTTCACTTTTTGGCAAGTTAGCATGATGATGATTTACACGTCTGTAATTCTGCAATAACTACCAGGTATTATATAAATGAAATACTGAAACTGCAGTAAGCACAAACATATTATAGTGTGAAAAGAGAAAATACGATATCTGGTTAGATATGTACATTTACAGTACCCCTATACCAGCATTACAAACTGACTTTGTACGGTTCATAACAATTTTTAATGCAGCGCAGCAAACATAGTTGTGAAATGTTTCTGTCTTCACTTAAGATTAGGATAAAGAAGTGTGCGTGGTTAGTTGAATAGCAAGTGAAATGTAATCTTAATTATATCAGATATAATATTAGGTAAATTCTGCTGTGGAAATCATAAACGCATTGTACTTCTGTGTGGACAGAAATTCCTATTTACAGTGGAAGGTTTGCTTTGTGTTAATTATGTGGCTCTTGGGGGTGTGGATGTGGTGTTTAGGCTGTTATCCCCTCTGTGACATAAACAGGTATTGAAATGAAATACAAACACTCAGTGATTACTTTCATGGCTGGAAAAAATGTCATTCTCTCTTGTTGGCTGTGATGCCACGCCTCATTGATCACATATAGTGGAAGTTGGAATGAAACAATTAGAAAATGAATGTAGAATCCATTCAGGACACAAGGGATGTCAGGTTAAGATTTCATTCTCCATTGCTTATCACTTTGTTGTGGTTTATTTGGTAATTAAGGCCTACACTTTGTTGTTGAAAGTTTAAAAGTAAACAAAGATAATGGCTTACATTTTAGGTGTTAATCCCTAATACAACAATCTAATCCCAAGATGGGGCACCAAAAGGGGAGCAAGACATTTAAATCTTTTACTTTTCAGATGTTTCATCTTAAAAAAGAAATGTTGTTGTGTTGAGGATGAAAGTCTGTTTTAGGTAGTTAATATCAGAAAAGTGACTGCTTGAAGAATAGCTTCATTTCATAGTATTGATTACATTCTCTTAATTTTCCTTGGTTTGGGTTCAGTGTTGCAATGAAATAATGAAAGAATTTATAGAGATTAACAATAAATTTATGATATTAATCTTGTTTAAAAAAAGACAAGAATTAAAGAAAAATAAAAAAGATATTTAACAACTCCTTGATATCAGAAATGATCATAAAATCAACAAACATATAGATACTCTTGGTTGATGTGACCCCTGAATGTGCCTCTGTGGTTAATTAAATCATCTTATCAACAGTGACCACTCACATTCAGTGGATGAGGAACTAGCCGCTGTGCGGACCCTGAGGAGGGAGTTGGAAGATGGTGTACAGCACAACCATGAAATGAGGACTATCCTAGAGAGGCAAATGAAAGAAATTCCTACCAAAGGTATAAAATTCTAACTTGTCTGTAGAGACTTGTATTTGTATGAATCTGCTAAGTTGACATTAGATATGCTTTCAATGGTGTGTTTTGGGATGGAGAGACATAAAATAATTGGTTGTCTTTCCCTTGAAATAGTAATTTTCCATTTTCTGTGCTTTGAGATACAATCATAATCTATTTGCAGAGTAATATGTAAGTTACTGATTCCAATATTCTTATTAAGTATTCAGAAATTTGACATGGGGTGAGTCCACAACACAATATTAAGTAAAATTTTCATATGGTAATTTTAAAACTTAGCACCTTTACAGAAATATAAACAGTCTGCTTAGTTTCTATTTACTAGAAGAATTTCATTATAATAACAATTCCTTATTCATCAGAATCTTCTCAAGAAAATGTGGAAGACTTAAAGAAAACCCTGAATTTCCTGAAGCTAGAACTGGAAACTAGTAAGCTCAACAACAGGTTTCTACAGTCAAAAAATGACCTGCAAACGAGGCAACGGGTAGAGGGAGAGGGTAGAGCTGAATCTTATCACCAGGGGGCACAAACTTCACCATTAACAGCATCATGGAGTCCAGGTAACAAACGGAGTCCTTCACCTATTGATGCAAATATTCAGCTTAATCGCCAGACCCTGTCTGACATGTCTGCTCCAATGCTGCGCAAAGTGATTCGGCAGCTGCAGCAGCAACTCAGTCAGGAGGAGAAAGAGAATGCAGAGCTTCGCAGAAAACTTGCAACAATGGGCGATGTACGCAACATTCCAGGAAAGAATGATGATGATGAAAACAGCATACCATATCTCCGCTCAGAGATTGAAAGGCTAGAAAGTGAACAGAGGAGGAAGGAAAGAGTAATTGGTGAATTACAGGCTCAATTAGGTTCATACGAACCAGATAATAGTTCAAGTAATATAACAGATCTTAAAAATGAAATTAAAAAGTTGACACTTCAGTTAGATCACACACAGGAAGTGAATTCAATGTTGAAACGACAGCTGACATTAAATGCTCAGAGTAAAGGAAGTGACTTTGACCCAGAAGTTATTGTACAGATGTCAGGTGAAATACAAAAACTTCGGTTAGAAAATGACAGGGCTAAGCGTGAAGGTTCCATGTCCTCCCATACATCAGAACCTTGTGCTTCAGCAAGTGCTTCCTCAGTATTTGATGATAATTCATTAAAGAATCGTTCCCTTAAGAAAGGCAGCCAAATTCCTCGACCAAGATTTGGAAGTACACCAGTTGTAGGGGATATCTCAGCTGTAAACCAGCCAGAAACTCTGAAAACACTTCTAATGGAATCCAAAAAGCGCATTTCTAACCTGGAAGACAAGCTGAAGGCCACAGAGGCCACGGTCCGACATCAGACACAAAAGATGAAGTATTACAAAGGCCTCCTGGAGGATCATGGATTAATCAACCGCAGTCCGATATGTAGCAGATCTAGTAGTGAGAGCAACCTAGCAACACTTTCCAGTAAGATTCCCATACGCAAACGTTCTGTATCCCAGGAAAATTTACCGTCAGGTGTGGTGTCCCTCGATTCTGCAATTGGCTCTGACTATGGTGGTGTGATGGACACAGTATTTGAGAAGTTTGGTAAAACCGATGATACAGACACTTTAAAGGATCAGGTGACTCAGCTTAGAGAACTTCTCATCCGACAAAGCATAGACATCAAATCTTTGAGAGACAGATTAGAAAAGGTAATTTTAGTATTTATTCCTTGGTACCTTGTGATGTTGAAATGAGTACATTTTAACTGAGATGCAGAAATATCAGCTTCTGACCTCTTGGTATAGAGATGCAATGGTAAACACTTCAGCATCACTTTATATACAGAACTGATTCTGTGTTGCACTGTAGTAATTGTTAATGTACTGAAATTGACACAATCAAATTTAGTGCATTTTTTTTATAAATTAGTGCATCCACAATACTTCTTATGTAAACATCATACAGAAATTGCAATTTTATTTTAGTGCCATATTTTCAGCTCCAAAAGTTCTTAAATAAGATGGAAATTAAAGCATCTGAGTTTATATTATTATATCTAGTACTAAGTACTCCCAAATTACAGCTATGTAATGGTCCCCGGGTAAACTTAAGAGGTTTCACAATCCCATGGTAATTAAAACTAATTTAATAACCCTTAATGAAGCTATGTTAATTATTGTTTTATAAAGGTACAATATCTTCATGAAGTTGGGAATTTTGAATTATATCTTTGTCAGATAGTATTTTATTTAATTGAATGTGTGTTGATGATGCGTGATTTCTTGGTTAGGTCGGAGATCGTTTGATCTGTTCTTAATTAGCAGATAGTTGTCTAATGATTTAATAATTATCTCTAAGGAAAATCAACAACGTGAAGCAGGTTACCAGGACCAGAACGCTCAGACATTACACAGTTTGGACGACACGTTAGTTTCACGTGACACACTACAAGACCTGCATCAACAAATGGATTCACTCCAGCGACATCTGCAGGAGACTCAGGACACTAATGCAGAGCTTCAGCACAAACTTCTGCAACAACGACACAACAACTCAGACTTTTTAAACCAACAACTCCAAGACAGTCACACCAAGATAGCTGCCCTTGAGGAAAAGGTTGCATCCTTCCAGAATTCATCTGTTCATGAAATATTGGAGTCACAAAAATCTGAGATCACAATGTTGAAGAAAAGATTCTCAGATACACAGAACTCTTGTACTCAGCTAAACTACTGGCTGGAGGAGTTAAGTACGTTTCTCACTGAACTGGTGTATGTGGATCAGGATGGAGATTGCAACCAGGTTCGGGGAATGAAACACAAGGTTGATTTGTCAAAGACAATTGTACGCAACATGTCTACATGTCTTATAGGTAGGTACAGTTTTCTGAAGTATTGCTTGATACACCTGCTACATTTTACCAAAAATGACACTAGGGTATGGGAACATTAGGATATGACTTTAAGTTTTAAAAGATACTCATCTAAACGGGTTAGACCAGAGTAAAGGATCTAAATGCAATCTGATAGTGGAAATCAATTATACTGGCAAATAGTGGAAATCAATTGTAGTGGCAAATAGTGATAGTGGTTCTTCTCCAAACTGGCCATATCTCAAGTGATAGTGGCTCTTCTCCAAACTGGCCATATCTCAAGTGATAGTGGCTCTTCTCCAAACTGGCCATATCTCATAGTGGAAATCAATTATACTGGCAAATAGTGATGGTGGCTCTTCTCCAAACTGGCCATATCTCAAGTGATAGTGGCTCTTCTCCAAACTGGCCATATCTCAAGTGATAGTGGCTCTTCTCCAAACTGGCCATATCTCAAGTGATAGTGGCTCTTCTCCAAACTGGCCATATCTCATAGTGGAAATCAATTATACTGGCAAATAGTGATGGTGGCTCTTCTCCAAACTGGCCATCCATGGGACATGAACACTTGTCTACTTTAGGAAGGGTTTGGTTCGAAGAAGAGAAAGTTGACCAGTTAGATCTGATTCAGTTCTGTACATTACTGTAATACCAATTTATCCATACCTTACATTCACTGAGAACATTTATAGTGCACCAAGTGTACAACTCTTGTCACAAGCGTTTGTTTTCAGAACTAATTTTCAATATAATTTAAACCTCTCAACAACAATAAAAAATCAGTATTCAGAATTTAGAATCAGCATTAAATTTTCTATTTTTCTATTTATTTATTTATTTTTTGTTTCCTCAATACTTTTTAAAGAGGATAACATTCTCAACATAATTACACTAAGTATGTTTTTAAACAACTATGTCAAATAGTAGTATCCCTACTTTATAATGTGTTGAAACTTTGTAGATTCCTTTGACACCACTTATGATGTGACCTCAGAACAACCCCAAACTGATGAGAACAAAGGATTGGTCGCTGACAATGAGGCATTGCGTAGGAGCGAGAAAAGGTTTGTGTAGTAGTCTTCACTGTCAGATGTGTTGTTGAGAAAGTGATTGGGGTTATATTATCTTATGTATGTTGGTTTTGAAGGCCTCTTTATAGAATGTGGCACTTTCATCTAATGACATTATGATAAGATAAGTGATTTGTTTTTTCACAGTCTAACAGAAGGGCTACGTCAGAAAAACTTGGAGGTGGAAAAGCTGACCAATGAACTACGCAAGAAGAACATGTTTGTTGACCAGTTACATCAGGAGCTGCTTCACTTCCATCAAATGAACAGGAAGTCTGAATCCCCTAAATCCTCATCTACTGCCAGTAGTGCTGACGGAAATGTCAACCCAAGTGGAAAATTATCCAGGGAAACACAGGACCTTCCTAATAAGTCTCCGAACCATTCTCAGCTCTCTGAACAAGCTAGTCAGTTCAGCAACGTTAGATCGCCAGAACGAATGCGTCACATGACTGGAAGCAGTTTGACAGATGGCAGCCATCTTAGATTAGACAGAACACAGGATGGTATTGGGATTATTGAGGACATGGCTGATTCTAGTCAGGGATCAACCGGCTACCATTCTTCTCGTCTTTCTGGAGATGATTTTATATCAGCACCTGGTCATGTACACAGTACAAGTGGGTCAGACAAGGAACATTCTTCAATTTATATAAGTGCATTTGATACAGATGAAAAACTTATGTACAACAGGCGTTTAGCAGACAGTCAGGTGTATGATAATACACTAACGCCACCTGTGTTCAAGTTGAATGGTGATACTTCTCTGCCAACAAAGATACCAAAAGCGTCTGATGGTCGTCATGTTGAATTCAGTATTTTAGATAAGTCTGGGAAGGAAGATGGCGAAGTGGAATCATTACGTGCTCGACTGAGTGCTGTTGAAGATCTTAACAAAACTCTAAAGGATGAACTGAATGTGTATGAAAACTTGTGCACTTCCATTGGGGTTCAAAGTTCACCTGTTAAAATGTCGCCTCGCTCAAAGAGCAAACAAGACACTGATACTGACCTCCTGCGTCAACATCTTGCAGAAATCCGTGAATTACGAATAAAGTTAGAGCATTCTGTTAAGGATAGTGACCGATTAAGACATCAGTTAGAACTGGACATGGATGGACACAAGGTTACATCAGGTCAGTAACACAGAAGAAAGATTGTGGAATCTCTTTACAATATCAATAGCTTTTTGTTTCTGTTTTCTACCACCTGAATACGTTTAAGTCTCTCCGAAAACCTATTACAATACATTGATAGGAATTAAGTATATGAAAATTGGAAGAGATTTAACCAAAGTCTGTATGCATAACGGTAAGTAACTTTTTTTTTTCATTTTTGAAACGATTACAACAATGTACCATTAAGATAAATTGTTGAAGATTATGAGATCATAATGCTATAAATGTATTTCATTTGGCACAAGCAAGTTCTAGGGCATTATCACTTTTTGGCAAATTAGCACTGACAAATTTTGGCATTGTCAAAACACAGAAAATATACAAATTTATCAGAGTTGTTGTGTTAAATGTAATTTCAGATTCCACCCAAAATGTATACATGTACAGTAAGCAGCAGACAACAATCACTGAACTACAGCAGACAATTCATCAGCTGCAGCAGCAGCTAAAGCAGAACCAGGCAACTGTTCGTGATAAGATCATCACAATCCAGGAGAGGGAGTGGACCATCCATAAACTACAGCAGGAACTCTCCAACATCCCACAGCAACAGCACGATCGCAGCACCAAAACACAGACACCGGAGAAGGATATCTCGATCCGTGAGTGGCACGAGAAAATTCGCAGTCAGGAACAGACGTGTGTGGTACAGCAACGGCGGATAGAGCAGCAGGACAATCTACTGGAACAACTTCGCAAAAAGTTACAGGTAGGTCAAGGTCATTGTCAGGTTACATGTAGATCAAGTCAATAGCTATGTAATAGGTTAATGGAAGTTAGAGAAAGGTCAAGGTCTTAGTCAGGTTTATTGTGAAGTAAAGGTTAGTCAAGTTAACAGAAAAGTTGCTGGTGCACTGTGTTTTAATCTGCAGCAGAAATTTGGTATTTCTTTTCATAAATTTTGAATAAATATAATGGGAAAACAAACTAAAACATTACAGGTTGAGGTTGTGTATGGATTCAATTTCATCCAACAGTAACGACAAAACCATAGTACTGACAAGTTTGTTATTTTGACAGCTACAAGAACACAGTCTCCACCAGCAGGAGACCAAGCTTAAAGAGATGTATGAGGTGGGACAACGTAAAGAACAAACCATGCAGGACAAAGATAATATGATTCTACAGCGGGGCAAGCAAATCAGCCAACTGGAACAGTCCACTGAGCGTATGGAAAAGGAAATTTCTCAACTAGAAGATTGCATGAAGAATCAGAAAGAACTGATTCATCAGAAGGAAAGTTGTATAAAAACAATGAAAGAGGAATTACAGAAACAGGATGATACCATTCAGCAACAGGGGGATGTTGTCAAGCAGAAGGAAGATACCATCAGGAAACTGAAGGATGAAATACAAAAGAAAGTAGACATTGTCAAGCAGCAAGGGGAGATTTTATCTGAAAGAGAGACTGCCATGCAGTCCTTAAGTCGTGTAGTGAAGGAACAGGCAGAACACATGCGTCACAAAGATAATACAATTCTCAAGTATGATAAGCAAGTCCAATCACTCAGTGAGAAGGTGAAACAGCTAGGTCAGTTGAAGGCAGAGAAGGATGAAGCTAACAAACGTCTGGTACAGAGGAATGAGATTCTAGATCAGGACAACTGTAAACTAGTAGAACAAAACAGCAGCCTTGACACCCAGCTCAAGCACAGCAACAAGGAAGTTGACAGGTAAGGCAAAGAAGTGTGAATGATAGTCGCTGACTACTTGTACATACTCAGCGAAATTATGTGAAGGAGTGTTAAGTCTTGCTCAAACCATTTCATCACATGTCCAGCATAAACAAAAGCACATATGACTGAGCCGATAAATTCATTATTTCTTTCCTTTTACAATTGTGACAATGACATTGGCAGAGTTTTCTGTTTTGATAAATGTGTATGCATTTCCAAAACTATCAGTATTCTTGCTTCATTAAAAGAGTCCTGATAACACCCCCCAAACCCTACCCCGCCCCCAACCCCCAATACCAACCCCCTTGGAGCCTTTGCTGATCTGTCAGGATTGTACTGATACATTTATCTCCCTTCATTTTATGATGTTTTGTGTTAACAGACTGAAGCAGGAGATGAATACAATGTTAGAGAAAGCTCAAGAGAACCAAGACTTAAACAAGACTCTCAAACTGGAACTAAGCGTGTATGAAAAACTGCAAGCTGAAGGTACTTTATCACCCAATCATGTTTTTAACTTTTCATCAATATGAATTGAAGTCAGATTATCTCAAAACTGAATAGACTCCACATAAAGAAACAATACTTTAAGGAAGTTGATGTTAATATTTTGAAGTTGTTGGGTTGAGGGCTGTTGTGATTAATGACAGAAAGAATTCACTGTACTGTGTGTGTGAAATTACTTTCAGTTTTTATTTATGATGCTTTTATTCCTGATATTCAGACAACAGCAATAAACCTCTGGGAGGTTTTGACATCCGGGAACTCCTGACAGAGATCCGACATCTCCGTGTCCAACTGGAGAGATGCATCGATACTAACAATGCCCTCCGACAGAAACTTGAGGAACACCTGCTACACCAAGCAAGTCCTAGACAAGTCACCACTACAACCACCAATATCTTCACAGTGAAGGACAGCAGTCCTACACGCTCTAATGGTAAAACTATATTATAACAATCAGTCCTACACACTCTAATGGTAAAACTATATTATAACAATCAGTCCTACACACTCTAATGGTAAAACTACATTATAACAATCAGTCCTAAACGCTGTAATGCTAAAGCTATATTATAACAATCAGTCCTACACGCTGTAATGCTAAAGCTATATTATAACAATCAGTCCTACACGCTGTAATGCTAAAGCTATATTATAACAATCAGTCCTACACGCTGTAATGCTAAAGCTATATTATAACAATCAGTCCTACACGCTGTAATGCTAAAACTATATTATAACAATCAGTCCTACACACTCTAATGGTAAAACTATATTATAACAATCAGTCCTACACACTCTAATGGTAAAACTATATTATAACAATCAGTCCTACACACTCTAATGCTAAAACTATATTATAACAATCAGTCCTACACACTCTAATGCTAAAACTATATTATAACAATCAGTCCTACACACTCTAATGCTAAAACTATATTATAACAATCAGTCCTACATGCTCTAATGCTAAAACTATATTATAACAATCAGTCCTACACACTCTAATGGTAAAACTATATTATAACAATCAGTCCTACACACTCTAACGGTAAAACTATATTATAACAATCAGTCCTACATGCTCTGATGGTAAAACTATATTATAACAATCAGTCCTACACACTCTAATGCTAAAACTATATTATAACAATCAGTCCTACACACTCTAATGGTAAAACTATATTATAACAATCAGTTCTACACACTCTAATGGTAAAACTATATTATAACAATCAGTCCTACACACTCTAATGCTAAAACTATATTATAACAATCAGTCCTACACACTCTAATGCTATAAAACTATACATAATGGTAAAACTATATAACAATCAGTCCTACACATGTAAAACTATATTATAACAATCTCTAATGGTAAAACTATATTATAACAATCAGTCCTACATGCTCTAACGGTAAAACTATATTATAACAATCAGTCCTACATGTTCTGATGGTAAAACTATATTATAACAATCAGTCCTACACACTCTAACGGTAAAACTATATTATAACAATCAGTCCTACATGCTCTGATGGTAAAACTATATTATAACAATCAGTCCTACACACTCTAATGCTAAAACTATATTATAACAATCAGTCCTACATGCTCTAATGCTAAAACTATATTATAACAATCAGTCCTACATGCTCTAATGGTAAAACTATATTATAACAATCAGTCCTACACACTCTAATGGTAAAACTATATTATAACAATCAGTCCTACATGCTCTAATGCTAAAACTATATTATAACAATCAGTCCTACACACTCTAATGGTAAAACTATATTATAACAATCAGTCCTACACACTCTAATGCTAAAACGATATTATAACAATGATAAATATATAATACTATATATTACATATGACAGCAACAAGCATAAAATTAAATCCTTGTGTTCCCTTAGGAACTGATGCACCAGATGGTCAGCCCAGTCCAGAAAGACCTCATGTTAATGGAGCACTGGCCATTAGACGTGTTCAGAGCCATCATGCTCCCATGGGGTCAAGGTCAAACAGTGGGTCATGTGCTTCCAGTGGTAGTGATACCATGTCAAGTAAGTGTTACCATGGCAGCCATATCATGGAACTTGTTGTATTATATCCAGGTAGAGGAATTTCCATGTGTACTTGTACTGTGTCCTCTAATCTGTGTTGCACTTATTGATGTGTCCTAACTTCTATAATTTGGGATATTTCTCTATGTTTTTCTTTCACTGATGATATATTGTAGGATGTATTAAAACAGGCAGATGAAAAACTTGTGATTTTATGATAGGTAACTAAGTTACCAGAAAGTTTGATTCCTAAGCACTGTGTGTTCCTAATCTAGTGTGTAATACTAGGAGTCGTAAACCACATGAAATCATGATGATGTTGTTGACTTCACATGACTTTTCATTCTCTCCTGATATCCTGTAGGCAGTGAGCTTTTTTATGGACTTGCTGTAAAATCATTAAGTTTTGTGTAGGTGTATGTTGGTTGAATTCCTGGATACTCTTGATCTACACAATTATACAGCCACAAAATGACAAAATGAAAACTGAAATGGATCATAGAACTATTAGAATTCTTGTACAAGATTTTTCCAGTAAAATAAGTGCCAAATAAAATGCATATTATTGTATAACCATGAAATTTTTGCTGTACCAGAATATAGGATCTATACATTACTAGTGGGTTCTCTGTATACCTGTTTCCAACAAAGAAATGATCGTCCTGACTCTCATGTGGTTTACAAATGTAGTGCCAGTGAACACATCATTATTTCAATCGAATTTTAATATTGCTTTTTAGCTGTCTTTCTAACTGGATTTTTAAATTTCCAATACAGGTCTTATAATATGTAAATGTAATTACACAAAAGTGATTGACTATCTTCTCTCACCTTTCATCTCACTAAACATTTCTGATTGAGACTGACATCTAGGGACCAAGACCACTTCCAACTGATCTGTGATGTTAAAACAGTAATATAAAAAAAATTAATTACTTGCTGGACCTATTATTTAAAGATGAATTAATGTGAATGGGCAAAGATGATAAACCTTCAATTCGATATTCTCAAATATAAAGGGGAAAATGTGTAGACTTGATCAAGTCAGTATCTATACTAGTCTATAAACTTGAAGAAGATCATTGTACTACTGACTAATTTATGTGAAGATCTATTTCTAACAGACTTGAGAGACTGTATAAAAGTTTGTGTAGGATGAGACATGAAGTGGTCTTGGCTTCTAGCTTGTAGTGTGCGTGTTCTTAACTCTTGATTTCTTCACACATAACAGTCTCCTGCCCAAGTGACACACCCTCTTTATCAGGCTTTGGTATATCAACATGGCCACCCATGTGTTCAGAAAGTGTCATGCTCAGCCAACAGAGGGAGTTGTGTGTATCTCAGTCTTCACCAGGTGGCACTCTGCACCAGTCGCTTGTTGACATGTCTAAATTTGGATGTACCTCACGGCCAGTGATGTCTGAAGGAAATTTATCCTACTATGTAGACGACCCCCCTAGTTCTGTTGCAGGTACTAGTTATAATCTGGCTCTGTTATGACCTGGGAATTTTCACATTAAATCCTACTTACTCTTCAGTATTTCTTTCTTCATATTAAGTAACCATGTCTTTGATGTTTTGTCTTGTTCTGTATTGATACAATGGTAATACGTCTCAGGGATGACTCTGCTTATTCCTGTAACCTTTTTGCTGTATGATATAAACAACATAGAAACAGCTCTCAGGTATAAAATTTTTTTCAGGCAAGGGCTCATCACTGGTGTAAACCTCGGTTAAATGTAGACCATTTCTCTAATCTGGTCTAGTTCCTTCTTACAATTATTGTTAAAGTCTCTTAATAACATTGCCCTCAACTTTATTCAAAGAGAACAGAAATACTGCATCATTAACGTTTTTTTCTGACTTTTTGTAACAAATTGAATATTGCATTGTTGTAGAATTAATTGATGAAAGCTATCTGGATAGTTTTAAAGTCAGTTTTCTGTAACATATACAGGACAAAATATGTTACATGTGTGTAATACATTTCTCCTCAGATCTGACAGGTATCAAAGTAGACTCAGATCTACGGTGTTTATTTGCTGTTGGAAAACTTGACGATTATGAAAAACTGAAAAAGGAAAACTGTGAGACGTTGTCGGTGTTGAAGGGCATTGAGGCCCGAATCAAAGAAAGACTGCGAGTCTTCAAAACCATGCCAACCTCTGAGGTAAGACAATATGAAGGAGTCAGTGATATATATTATATTGTATTTTGAATCCTTGTATCTTATAGGTTAAATATATCATTCAGTATTGTTTAATAAGCAGACAGTGAACTCCATTATTATTTTTCATATATATGTATTGATTGAAATTATAGAATATGAATTGGTAAATTGATTTTCTAATTACAGATAAATCAAAGCAGTATGATACATTTACTTACATTTGTTATTCTTTATTTTCAGCTGATTAAGGTATAGAAATTAGAACAAGTCATGCTTTCCCTGATAATGTATGCATGATTCTAACTCCTGTAACAAACATAGCTTGGGGTATTTACCATGCATGCTCCCTGGTGTCAGGACATCATCTCAGTAGTGTTGATATAAATTTTAATCAGATTCAGTGATGTAATGATATGGTATTGAATTAGAAGTAGCTGGTGAGTGGGAGATATATAATTTCATCTGATATTATTGCATGCACATTACAATGATAGGCCTAACTTTACACATGTGGTAAAGTGTTATGCTAAAGAGTTACTCTTTATCACATGTAAAGTAGGCCTATTAGGTAGTATTAACAGCTGCTTACCTGTATAGCATCATATACAATCAGTTACCACTATTAAAGTCTTCCACATGTAATAGCTTTCTTTTAAGAGGCAAACATAATATTACTGTCCCTGCCAGAAGTGTGTTAGTGTTGATCATAGACTCCTTAATATGTTAGCAGTTACACACTGATAATCACTCTATTTTTGTGTCTTCTTACTTCTAATGGTTATTCATTACTATCCCACGTGAAACTTGTTTGCGAGGGATATTATTTTGGGCTCCGTCCGTCCATTATATTTTTTCTGTTACCATGGAAACATAGCCAAAACTGAAACCATTCAAGAGAATTGCTCAAAACTTTTTACACTTATTACACTAGTATTATCTTTTGCTAAGTTTTCCATTTAAATACTTTGTATGGAACAATTCATATCAACAAATAGAAATTAAACTTGTGTGATTAACATATATATGTGATTGTGCATTTTTCTTTTCAACAGCAGGGCACGGGGGATAATGTCATGTTTCGTGTTATCTTGTTGATATAAGGTTTTAAATCGATATAAAAAAGGAAAACAACCAACCATGTATGATATTTGAATTGTCTTCACTCCAGAATTCAAATAAAAATAGATGTATTGGGAAATGTGAGTGGTTTACAGTCAGCAATGATCAAAAAGGAGTCTGATATAGTTAGTTCAATCCACATTTACAACATATCGTGAAACTGTCCACTAAGTGAGATGGCAGATTTCAATGGTAATGCAGATCAATCTGTATCATATATGGTCTAAGCTACAGAATATCAACATTTGTCATATGGGAACAGTTATGGAGATGAAAAATCTGTAACCAACCAATCCACATCTCATAACTCACAAATTTGATTATGTTAAGGAGTAACAATTTCAGCTACATAATGACATTTATGTCACTAAAAATAACATCATAAAATATTTGACCAGTCCGATTGAATTGGTAGATGTTTCCCAATCATCCTTTATGTAACCTGCCTTTGTGGACAGTTTCAATAACATACTGCAAACCAAGAAGAACAGACCTAATGGACTTATTTTAGATTTATTATCAAATGTGTAGTTGATAAAATAATTGTTACCTTAGTTTCTTCCCTTCAGTATTAAATTGAGAAAACCACTTATTCTTGTTAAATTATTCATCCGCTGTATTCAAGCTTTACCCCGATGAGGCATGTGTACTTGCCCCCAGCATGGTTTTATTACTGCTATATAATGATCTACAGTGCATGTTAAGAAGTAGATGCATGGTAACATGTGGAAGTTTACTCCATCTTCTCAGAATGAGAATTTTCCCACAACTGTTTTTACTCTACTGTTTTATGAGGGACATGTAGTGTTACCTATATCTGTCCTGTCTGGTTCTGAATCTCTATTATAACTACCATTCATTCTGGATTATTTTCTGGATTATAAGCCACACCTGTTTTGCTCGTGTGGCTTATATACCAATGCAGCTAACATTTGGATGGTAAAGAAATCGGCAGGTTAAACAATAAAAGAAAAAGAAAGAAAAAACAGAAAGAAATCAGTACATGTTTTCATAAGAAAGAGTGCAGCTTATATTCCAGTGTGGCTTATGTGTGGATCAAATTGAAAAAATCGCTAAAAGCTGGCCCTGCAGTTTATATACTTGTACAGCTTATAATCTGGAAAACATGGTATATATTTTTGATTTAATTAATATGGAGGTTGACTACAACAACACCTAAGCTAAGTTTGTATTCAAAGTTCTAAGGTCAAGGTCACAATTACTGTTTAAATATAAAACATGGATACTTATTTGTTGTGAGTGAGGACATAGATGTTTTACAGACACTATGTAATGTGTTGTAATGGCTTCATTGTCTTTCCAGAATTTCTCACAATGAGGGTTTTTCTGGGAGAACTGCATCATGTTAGCATTTTCTTGGGAGAATTTTCTAACACGCAGGGTTTTCTTGAGAGAATATTCTCATACTGAGGTTTTTCCATAAGATCATGTTTAGTCTAGAAATGAGGTTACAATGAGAAATTGATGATATCATTGTGAAAAATGATGCAGATAGCTGTGTCTGTCAAGTCAAAAGAGTCCTTACAACCAGAAATGTATAGAACCATATTGAGAAAAGAACCATTGCAATTTGGGTATAATAAACCTAGGGACTGTAAAATTACCACACAGGTTACTTTATTCATGCCAGCAGCAGTGTTAGCTCCTGCAGTCAGGTGACATTAAGATTAAAGGTTTGTGTTTTAATGTAGGATGTGCTTACTGCTAGTGTCAATACCACTTGTGTTTGTATTACAGAGTGTGGAATACAGTACCCTGAAGGAACTTTCCCTGAGCTCTGAAAACCTTCGCATCTGTCTCGATGAGGAGAAATCTCTCATTAGTTGTTTCTGGACAACCCAGCTCCCTAAAAGTGGCAGTGACACCAAAGCTGTCGCTGAGGTAGGTACCTGATCAGCACAAACTGAGGCTTAATATAAACCGATTAGGCCCTCAACACAAATTGATCAGAGGCTGAACAAAACTGACAAGGTCCAGAACACAAATTAATCAAATGCTCAACAAAACCTATCTAGATCCTGAACACAAACTGACCAGAAGTTCAACACAAACTGACCAGAGGTTCATCACAAACTGACCAAGTTAGACTTACTGTTCAGTACATGAAATCTAGCATGATTTTTTGAGCTTGTTAACTACTAACACATTTTGTAATTTTCATTTATCGTGATATAGCTATGTACGTTTGATGAATTTACGATATAGGAAATGATACTACCGGTATATCTGATACTGTTGTAGAACAAAGTCCTTCGTGCTGAACTGTTTGCTCTCCAGTCCAAATACGACCTAATGGTTAAAATGGTACAGGACGCAGAGGCACGGCTTCATACCAGTAACAAACAGAAACAGAGTATGGAGGAGATCATACATCGACAATGTAAGTACAGGCCCCTGTGTATCATTTCTTTTCTATTTAACAGTTAAGACTGGATTAAAAATAATTGATTTGAAGTTATTTGTGGTTTATTTGTGCTGGGCTCAATTTTAACATCTTTCTTGTGCGTTTGTTTTATTTTGTGTTTTGTTGACAGGAATTACCAGATACCTTTAATGTAATGAGATTATTAATGCTTTAAGTAAATGAAATTAATTCCTCTACCAGATCACAGCAGACATAAGAGTTGTCTCCCTTTTATTTTTTTTTTTTTTTTTTTTTGTATCCTGGAACTCTTGGTGCCTCAAAAACATGTCTCCAATTTACATACTTATCTCTTAGGATACAGAAGTATGTAGACAATGTAGATATCAAATGGATGTCTAAACCGGGTCAGTGATAAATAGTGAGCAATAAACTCTAAATTTGACATATGTCAGTCACTATTTCCTTTCCTCTTCTCTCCATCAGTCACTATTGCCTTTCCCCTTTTCTCCATAAATCACTATTGCCTTCCTCTTCTCTCCATCAATCACTATTGCCTTCCTCTTCTCTCCATCAATCACTATTACCTTTCCTTTTCTCTCCATCAATCACTATTTCCTTTCCTCTTCTTTCCATCAATAAGTATTGCCTTTCCTCTTCTCTCCATCAGTCACTATTTTTCTTTCCTCTTCTCTCCATCAATCACTATTGCTTTCCTCTTCTCTCCATCAATCACTATTGCTTTCCTCTTCTCTCCATCAATCACTATTGCCTTCCTCTTCTCTCCATCAATCACTATTTCCTTTCCTCTTCTTTCCATCAATAAGTATTGCCTTTCCTCTTCTCTCCATCAATCACTATTGCTTTCCTCTTCTCTCCATCAATCACTATTTCCTTTCCTCTTTTCTCCATCAATCACTATTGCTTTCCTCTTCTCTCCATCAATCACTATTGCTTTCCTCTTCTCTCCATCAATCAGTATTGCCTTTCCTCTTCTCTCCATCAATCACTATTTCCTTTCCTCTTCTCTCCATCAATCACTATTGATTTCCTCTTCTCTCCATCAGTCACTATTTCCTTTCCTCTTTTCTCCTTCAGTCACTATTGCTTTCCTCTTCTCTCCATCAATCACTATTTCCTTTCCTCTTCTCTCCATCAATCACTATTGCCTTTCCTCTTCTCTCCATCAATCACTATTTCCTTTCCTCTTCTCTCCATCAATCACTATAACCGTTCTTCTTCTCTTCATCAGTTATTATTACCATTCACCTTATCAGTGATGAATCTATATTCATCAATTTTAGACACTTTGTCATTTATACCCTTTTTTCCAGAAATGATCTTTATATGCCTTATCAGATTTTCTCAAATTTTAACCCCTTGGCATGTTTTTGAGATTTTGTGAGAAAATTAATTGTTGTCAATGTTGTGTGATATGCTACTATGAGGGACTGGGAAACCCAGTATTGTATGATATAATTGTGGTGATGGGTAAATGATGTTGGAATTGCTATGTATGTTGGTGTGTCAATTTGTTACAGATGAAAAGCTTTTCGACAGCTTGTTGACTTACAGGCAGAACCTCAAACTGCCAGCATGGTTGGTGTTCATGAGTGGCTTCCGTTTGGTTTGGTTACAAAGACAGAATGATCCCAAGGTTATCTCCCTTGACTGAAATCTCGATTTTGTTTCAAGCCAAAATTTCCATTAATTTTGTTACACAGTAGTAAAAAGACTAATGTTCAAGGGAGATAACAACTAACCAGTTCTGTATGTTTCTGCTGTACTTACTAACACTCTGTGACATTTGCTTGCATTACTTTATTCTTCAACATGAATAATTTCTAAGTACAAATTTTGCCTGGCATGGATAAGTTTATTGAAGAGAGAAAAAACTATACAAATGGCACATAATTATAGAGAGGTTTGTACAGATTCTGATTTCTATGACTGCCAATCATATGACTTTGTCAATCCTGAAAGTGTGCCGTGTTGTGTTTGTTTTGGTTTACTAACCCCTCAAGGCCACAACGTAATTCTCTCAACATTTTCTCCACAAACAATGGTATTCTTTTTTTACATTTTTTTGGTTATGTTTTCAGTACATTCCACCCCAATAGGAGCTTTCAGTTCCACCTGCTTGTTTTGTACCAGTATATCATTAGACATCTAGATAGTAGGTAGTATTACCATGCTTCAGAGGCAGAATAAACCTAAGTTATAGCTCTCCAATATGAAATTTTGACTGTAATTATTTTATTAGTCTGGCAGTGTTTCTAGTAAAGACAAAGTTTGTCTGTTTATGATCAGTTTACTCAAAAGTTTTTTGTCGCAATTCTCTTAAAGCCGAGTTTAAAAAATTCCCCTTTTACAATTTTTTTCCTATTACTGTTAGAAAAAAGAAAAAGTTGATACTATCTGAATGATTTCAGCATAATCCAAACGATAATTTTCAGTTTTGCTATGAAGATTTAAATCATTGCTCATCTAAACTGTAAATATAGGTTCACAAGTGTTTCAATGTGTAAGATGATTGGTAATGATTGACATATTACCGTTGAAAAATACAAATTATTTGGTTAATAACGTATAATACAGGATATTGTTATAATAGTTACTAGTGGATAAAACTGTTTTTATAGTGTTTTTCCTATTTATTTTTCAGTGAAAAAGACCACGAAAGTGGCAGCCAAAGCGAGGACTAACTTTGAGAAAGATGTGCCAAGACACAGTGTTGGACAGCTTGTGGCACTCACTAGAGACAAACCATCAAGAGATATGGACACAGATAGTGAAATGAGTTTCAGCTGATAAATATCTATGTCCTGAAGTGACAATTTCCATGTCAGAACATCATGATGTGTGTTTGGTAACTACTTGTTTTCTGTGTAGTCAGATAATAACAAGCTTGCTTTTGAGCTCTTTTGGTTTGTAAGATCTCAGGAGCTAGTGTTAATTTATACAGTGTTGTAAACTACACAGACGAGCATACTACTGGACACAGATGTCATCTCACAGTGAATGGAATTACATACAGTGACTGACTGCTGTTGTAAGCATTGATAAATATGTAACTAGACCAATATAGTCAAGTTACACTTATTGACTGCTGTTGTACACTACACGGATAAACCTGAGCTCAAAGGCACTGATGTTTGTGGTCATCGAATTTAGAGGTCACTGTTGTTGATCAAAGTCATAATATTGTTTTGTTACATACATTTACTGCAGTTGTTTATTAAAGTTAATGGTATGGGCTAGGTGTCATTATACATACAGTTTATCCATGTGTAAGTATCTGTATGTACCAATACATACACCTGTATATGTGTCAATTTGTATGTATACATACACCTGTATGTGTGTCAGTCTGTATGGATACATACACCTGTATGTGTGTCAGTCTGTATGTATACATACACCTGTATATGTGTCAGTTTGTATGTATACATACACCTGTATGTGTGACAGTTTGTATGTATACATACAGTCCTGTCACAGTTAACCGCCCAGGTATCATTATATATATGTTTTAGCATATCCTACATGTGTGTATCAGTAAATATGTGTTGGTTTGTATGTACAGTCTTGTCTGTACTTACAAGCCAGTGGCAGGTTGAGTCCACTGTTACAGATACAGATTCATTAACCCATTTCCTAACTTTGAGATAAGGACCTTGTTTACAGATTTCCTAATGATGTTGTTGATAGGTCTTGGCTATATGGCTTTTTTTTTTTAACTGTATTGCGAGTCAGAGCATTACATATGAAAAGCCATTTTGTATAATTTTTGGTAATTGGGTACATTGAAGACTTCATCAGAGTCAAAATATTGTCGCAAGAAAATGAACTTCATATTGTTTGTATAAAAATGTTTTTGATTTCTTAAATATTGACAAAAATGCAATAGCCAGAGATCAACATCATAGAAATAAAATTCATGTCTTTCAATTAACATCCACTTTTCTTGCCATCATATTCATTGCTCACTTATCTAGAGACTTGTAACAAAATCTGTCATTTATGATGTCAGTGTCATACCTGAACAAATATTCAGCATCAACGTATTTCCTGCGTGAAAGAGTAAAAGACTTTGATTGTTTTACAGGGAATATATCTGTTGGTGTAAAAAGTTTAATGTATTGATGTTGAAGTGTCAACAAGTGTTGGACCATACAATATCTCTTGTTGTCTGTTTTATCATGAAACCATCCACCCCTTCACATCTCTGTGTTTGGTTATGTCACTAACAGGTCTACATCATGTGTTTGATGATATGGCTACATCAAATCAGGCTTGAAATCAGCCGTTAGTTTTCCACCTTACATCCTGATTTCTGTTCACATCCTTGCATGTTGCATTTTCGTACATTTTCGTCATTTGATTTAGATGTTCTGCACATAGTTGTATCTTAATTGACCAAGTTCTGTGTACAAGTTTCCCAGTGGTGTAAAACTGATAGCTTTTGAGACAAAGAAAGTTCCTTGTACATATTGCCTATTCATGGCTGGAACTGGGGAAACATTGGTCATTACTGGTGCATTTTGATCAGTTGTGTGCTGTATCCATGGTTTTCATTGTCCATACCATCCTGGCACTAAAAGAAGCCAAAATTTAACATCCATTACTTCTATTGTGCAACTGTAAGGATTTGTGATGAACAGATCAATCCTAGAAGCCCTTGCTCATTTAACAAAGTCATGCTTTAGACAATGATATGAAAAAGAGAAAATCTTCCATAGTTAGTCTTCCTGATGTAAATATCTCAAAACGGCTATTATGCCAAAACAAACATCAAATATCTTGCCACACCATTCTTTCTGATTAACCTTATGTGATGGCCTTGCTGTCTTACTCTTTATCTCCCATGTCTGAAAGTCTATATAACAAAGTTACACATCTGACTGTCCATGTAACAAGGACAATGTCGCACGTCTGACCGTCCATGTAACAAGGACAAAGTCGCATGTCTGACCGTCCATGAACAAGGACAAAGTCGCATGTCTGACCGTTTATGTAACAAGGACAAAGTCACATGTCTAACCGTCCATGTAACAAGGACAAATTGGTCAGACTACAGTAGCTATACTACATACCAGGCAAATTTCATTCATTTACTATTAGTGATAACTCATGGTCATTGTTGAAACAAATTCACCTTTATGGAAAGGTTGGAACCTCAAGTTTGGTTTCACTGTTGTAATAAATTCAGCTATTTGATAATTTAAACGTGTGTTAAGTTCAACCTTAAGAATAGGGTAAAACTCCAATTGTGGTTTCATTATTGTTGTAATTTTACCCTTACAATAAGGCAGAAACTTCAAATGTCCTGAACTTTTCCTGGTATGTCTGATTCTGTATATGATCTCAGTGAAGATGTACTGTACAGAAAGGGACCAAACAATCATCGTCTTTATCATTTCTGAATCTACTATAGTATTTATTATTAAAAGTTGTCTAATCAAAAGTTTTGTTGTATATTTTTCATTATACAAACTGATGTTTAACCAGAATTTGTTTGTAAGATATGTTTTAGCTTTTACAAAGACTTTTAATGATTGCTGTTGTCACTGAACTTTTAATTCACATTATAAAGGATGTGGATTTGGAAGGTTATTCCTTCTGTAAGGGTACACTATGTAGTGCTGTATAAATAAAATACTGATATGTGTGCTGAACAATAAAGGATTCTAATGTTAAACAAAACCATGTGCTGAGATTTACTAAATACAAGAATGTGCTGAGAATTATACTATATTGCATGTATCCTATTTTGTACAGACGTCTAATGTTAAATGCACTCTTTTGTTGAGATGTTGGTTATGAGGAAGGTACTGGTAACCACCATTGTATTGTGGAGACTGGTTATGAGGAAGGTACTGGTAACCACCATTGTATTGTGGAGACTGGTTATGATGAGGGTACTGGTAACCACCATTGTATTGTGGAGACTGGTTATGATGAGGGTACTGGTAACCACCATTGTATTGTGGAGACTGGTTATGATGAAGGTACTGGTAACCACTGGAGGGTTTTGGTAACCACTGTTGTGAAGTGGAAACAAGTTATGAAGAGGGTACAGATTAATTACTTTGATATTGTGGGGAGATGTTTAAAGGACAATACAGGTAACTGCTTTTGTATTGTGGGGAGATGTTAGGAGGAGGGTACAGGTTAACTACTTTTGTATTGTGGGGAGATGTTTAAAGGACAATACAGGTTAACTGCTTTTGTATTGTGGGGAGATGTTAGGAGGAGGGTACAGGTTAACTACTTTTGTATTGTGGGGAGATGTTAGGAGGAGGGTACAGGTTAACTGCTTTTGTATTGCGGGGATATGTTATTATGAAAGTACTGCTACATGTTACCTATATTATGGACATGTGGTTTAGAGAATGTAAACACCATTGTATAAGACAATTTGATTATTTATTGTCAAAGTTTCTACTGATTTGACATCGACATCATACACATCACATTCACTTAATTATCGACAATAAAATGTCAAGATGAACTGTATATTTTCTGTTGTCTTATTTGGTCATTTTCTGTTCCATCATAGGTAAACTTTGGTCCATGTCTGATAATAAGCCCATCTGTATCTACTGGTAATTCAGTTTGCAAAAAAAGTCAGCAAATGCTATATCATGGTCTTGTATTGAGCTTACTCCTCTAGATTGTGTTTGCCACCTGGGTTGATAGCAGGATAAATATGGTAAGTGATGTGACAAGTAGAGATAAGATTATCTGTATGAGAATCATTCACGATTTATGCCAGGAATGTGACTTTTAACGTACCAACATATTGGTTTGTTAACATAATCATAATGGCCCATGGGAAGAACAGAATGCTATTTACTTAAAGACCATAACTTTGAGAGGAAGGCTAGAGGGTCCTTCATTGAAGAGGCTAGTGCCCTAAAGTAATCATGTCTGTATGTTTTGTTTGTTTCAGAACTATACAGAAGTTCCTTTGGGACCAATTTCACTCAAACTTTACTTTTAACTTAATACTTCATTGAAGGGAGTGCTTGCATGGGAGTTAGTATGGGTCCAGAGGTTAAAGATCAAGGTCACTAATTACTGTCAATAGAAAACTGGTTATTGCGAAAATATCTTCAGTTCTATTCTGATGGTTAAAGCCAGACTACTTCCATTGCTTTTCTTGGGAAGTGCTAGTTCTCAATTGCTCTTCATGTTCAGAGGTCAAAGGCTAAGGCTATCATTACTAAAGATAGAGAAGGCGATACACAGCAAAAAGTAGGTCATATCTAAGTGTTACTGCTAAGTTCTTATAATTACAGCATAAGTGAAGCATGTTTAAATGAAATCAAAGGTGAAGTCACCTGACCGCAAGTCAAGTTCATCAGGTTGAAGTGTAAAAGTCAAATTGGAAATATTTTATTGCCAAATATGGTAATAAAACATTAATGACTGAAATCAAATAAGTAGTCAACCAACTTCAACTCAAATTCAAAATATATTGGGATATTTATATTTCACAGCAAATCAATTTCTCTGTAAAGGATTAAGCAAAAATTCAGGAGTGATTTAACACTCGGGTTTAGAGTTGGACACAATGAAGGGCCCTCCAAGATATGTCACTACTTAAGTACTTGTGGTATATCATGTTTTAAGTATTGTTAAAAATATCTCTAGCCTTTGGTATCAAACTAAACTGGTAATGAGTAAACTAGTGTTATTAGGACACAGATCTTGTAAGGAGTCTATCGGCGTAATAAGGAGTCAGCCAATCTCGCATAACATATATTAATGCAAAATAATCAGTCTACCAATGTAATTAGGAGTAAACCAATATGTTTTAACGAGTACAGTATACCAGTGTTGTTGAGAGAATACCAACACAAAATGTGTTACCACTCAGGTAATACACTTGCACTATAAAACAGAATAACTTGCTGTACAGAAAAAAAAGACAATTGATACAAGTTTCCTGTATTTTATTGACAATGATTAACTACTATAAAACATCACAAGTACATCATATAGTTAGAACAATATGCATACAGATATTCATCACAAAGTGGTTACACTTCTAGGTATGCACGTGTGTGAACAGTAGATAAAATCAGGTCTATATACATGTAATACCATTGTTTTTGTCTCAGTTTCCCAAAATCAAAATTAATTATCAGATAATACCAACTTTAGGAGATATTTGTTAGTTATATTTCACAGAAATGGGTCACATCACTTTATAGTAATGCATTTTGCAGAATAATACTCTAGAGTATGAAAATAAAAGATAATTTGTTAATGAGGGAAGGAATTATAGACTCTCTGGAGAAACATACTCTACATGATGGGAGAGAAGAAGTGATGACTTTAATTTGAAATTTACCCTTTATAAACTGCTGTTGTGCCTTTAACCTTACTTTACATGTATCAATAGTTTTATTCTATTGACAGCTAGCCAAGACAAACACGTAAATAACACAATAAACCACAGAATCTAGATGTTGGTACTCCATTCTTTGATTTCTTGCACCAAGATAGAAAAATTAAATAAGTAATTGTACACCAACTCAATGATCTTCATATCAACATAAGTTCAGGACTGTTTATAAAAAAGAAGCCTGGTTTGCACAGCACGCTGGAATACAGTAAGTTTATTATTAATGTTAATATAACATTCTTTTGAAACAGTCCTCGATTTATTTCACTTATAAAGTAAAACATACATGGATGGTGCAGTGTTAAATAAAGCATATGGCTGTAACCTAGACATTTACGGTTCGACTCTCCAGATGTGAAAATGGATGGTGCCATCTGCCCGACCACATGGATTTTCTTCGGGTACGCATTTCCTCCCACCTTTAGACCCTTAAGACCCATCACATGCTTCAATCAGAACCAACAAGAGAGATCAATATAAGGTTTAGCTTGTTTGTATGAAATAGATAAGTTTATATCATTTAATTTAAACTAAATTTGCCTCATCATCTTTGATGTCTTGAATGGCTTGGAAAAATTCGAAAAGCTTACACCAAGTATTTTCCCTGCTCTTTGGTTAAAGGATATGCTTAAACTAGTAAAATTGTGTACTTCATATCCATTCTAAAGGAATTTTAAATTGTTATATTTTTGTAATGTAAACTCAATTTTCTTTTATTCTGAAGGAAAACAAAATGCATATCAATATTTCTCAAGGCAACTTTGGTATTTTTCAACATGGATTCCGCACAACCAACTGTCAAGACCTAATTTAACACCAGGATGGATTTATCATCAATAAAATTCTGGTGATAACAAAATATCAAGTTACAACAACTCTTACAAATATATAACATGTGTATCATAGTTCTACAGACAGGGACATCACCACTGATACATTATGACTCGAGAAAAATCATTAAAGTAAGGTGACATGGAATTTTTTTATCAGGATCTACTGTAATGCTTCATAATCGGGTAAATATCTGTAGTTAGAAAAATACAAAATTTCAGAATGTTGATCTTAAACAGTAGGCAGTATTTTTAGAAACACTACACAAGATTATCAAAATGATTAACCAATGAGCCAGTCTTATATACTGGATGATCGGAATTATGTGATTTAAATATATACAAAAACATATACAAACAAGATTATGTGTATTAATTGTTAAAATAAGGTCCTATTCTAAATTCTACCAAAAAGTCTTAATAGGAAAATAACGGATTCCAATAATATCAGAAAACTGGCAAAAACTATACCTGAATTTGGATTTAACTACAATAGGAATGTAAGAAGTATTTTACACATGTTTCAGAAGAGAACAGGCAATTTTACCAATGTCAAATAAAAATACCTTCAATAAATAGCACTTTACAATCATCACTAAATCACTCTAGATCTTAGATCATCCTGATTGCAATCGGTGAAATGGATAATCAGTAATATGATACTATTTATGCATGTTTTCTTCAATCTATCACAAGTTTTTTAAATGTAGCCGGTAAATATCATCTAGTCACTTTGTAGGCCGGTCACACATCAAAACACGATAAAGAGAAACAAAATGTTTCGCAGGAATTATCTCCTGACTCAGTTTCAAAAGCCATTAAATTACAAATGTCAATCACAAGCATTTCTGATATCAATGATGGAACACAAGAATCTTCCCAAAATATCTCAAACATGAAGGAATGCCAGTGAAACCTCAACTGCTGGGTAGTGATCTAAATGAATTTTTTTTATAAAGCCAGCAGAGGGTTGGGCAGATAAGATGTTTACCTCTTGGATTGAAATTTCAGCCGTATGTTCATGGTAAGGAAAGATTCTATCAATCACCTCAATAGCAATCATCATTATCTGAATATCCCACTGGCATTTTATAAAAGTCATTTGTATAATGTTCAAATGGTTAAAGCTATCAGACATTTACTTAGAGGATCAATGTGTATGTTAAAAACTTCAAAGTTAAATTTGCTGTTGGTTGATGAATAATTTTGGGCATGATCTCTGGTGAACATTTTTTTTACTCCTCATGTCGAAGAGGCCTTTTTTTTTTATTATTATTTCATCGTGTGCTAAAAATATGTTTTAGCTTAACTTTCTGGCTACAAGATTAAGACATAACTTAGATTATTTCATCGCCTTCCTTAAGTCAGAAAACTCTGACCCCTCTTTTAGTGCATTTATTTCTTGGTCATTGACTGAATAAGATCAATGGGCAGAGGGAATATGATGGTGGAATTTTTCTCTGCAGCAATGGTATTAAGAGTCTGAAGATAACGCAGTTGGACAGCAGCCGGAGCCTCTGACAATATGTCTGCAGCTTCCTTGAGGGCACGTGATGCCTTTTGTTCTCCTTCAGCAGCCAATACCTGTCAAAAGAAAATATCAATACAGTACAAGTATTTATTAGCAGTATCTCAATAGCATATCAACCATTACATTAGCATATTGTAAATCTGTCTTTTATAAAGACAGATATTTCTGTCATGTCCTTGATTCTCTGTGGTATAAACTACTGGATTTTTTTCCTTCTTTTTTTCTTTAATATTTTTATTCTCACTTTTTCACCATTCCCTCACTGCTAACTTTTACTACATACCTAACCTAACATGACACCACAGCCTCCCTTCATCACTATAACTACATACCTTAGTCCTAACCTAACATGACACCACAGCCTCCCCTCATCACTATAACTACATACCTTAGTCCTAACCTAACATGACACCACAGCCTCCCCTCATCACTATAACTACATACCATAGTCCTAACCTAACATGACACCACAGCCTCCCCTCATCACTATAACTACATACCTTAGTCCTAACCTAACATGACACCACAGCCTCCCCTCATCACTATAACTACATACCTTAGTCCTAACCTAACATGACACCACAGCCTCCCCTCATCACTATAACTACATACCTTAGTCCTAACCTAACATGACACCACAGCCTCCCCTCATCACTATAACTACATACCTTGGCTCTGGCCTCACGGGATGCCTCTGCCTCTGCTGCCATTGCCCTCTGTAACTGGTGAGGAAGTCGTACATCTTTGCTGTAAGTAATAATGTTATTTTGTACTAATAACAGCTTTACATCTGAACAGTTTGATCTAAATTAAGTATTCTATTGATTATAAAGCATTTTATCAAATTTTATACAAATGAGTAAGAAACTGATCAGTTTCTGAAACAAGATCTCGATGGCATGCTCATTATTAATATATTATGTATTAAGAGTTATACAAATCTCTGTACAATTTTCAATGAATAATTTTCTCTTCACTTACATTTCCACACGGTCAACCTTCACTCCCCAAGGATCAGTGGATTCATCCAAAATTTGCTAGGAAGGAAAAACAGCAGATATAAAACGCCTGTTATTTAAAAGCATAGGATACAATATACATATTGTACAACAGAAAATAAATGTCCATTTCTTATTCAAGAAGATTTTCTTTTTTCCTTTCCTTTTCTTTTTTTTTATTTAATTCCTTAATCTTTCATTTCATTTCTGCAAATAATTACATTGTATAGCACATTTTGAAGGTATCAATAACATGTCACTTCAAGTGAGTGTAAATGAGGGCAGATCAAAGCTGGATATTCTTGGATATTCTAACAAACCGAACAAAAAATCTTTGACAAATTTATTCTGTGTTTGGAATGAATTGAATTAAAATTTTATATTCAATTATTTTTCAACATTTTCTTTGAGTTTTTTTTTTCTGTATCTCTTCTGTTTTGTTTGTTTTCTTCCTTTCTTGTTTTTGACAATAACATACGGGGGTAGATATAATTTGAATTACTGCTGCTGCTTTACACTCATGTTACAAAATTCTGTGTTTCCAGCAACATGGGATAGCAAAGATATCCAGGTATTACATGTAAACAAATTATCTGTGGATGTTAAGTGATTGCCCCACACCAAGATCACATTTGAGATCTGCAGGTAGCATATCAGACAGGTAAGTTAAAATTTCTACCAACACTTGGTTACAAAGTATAAAATGATAAACAGTATTACTAAGGAATCACTTATACTGATTATCTACCTTCATCTGGTAAGAAATAGCATCTCTGTCCGTCAACATCTCAGACATATTCTTTGTGCCGAGAACGTTCCTCAAAGTGGTGGCTGCCAGCAGTTTGGTAGACTGGAAGGCGTCCTCAACATTACACACAGACATAACCGCATCAAAGATATTACAGTAGATGACAGCATCCACCGACACTGTTACCGAATCCTTCGACAAAATCTGTCAAATACAATTACCAGGTCAATATCTTAACTGATCAAAAACACTAATAAATGACTTACAGTGTTATAGATAGAAACCCTTCTGATTTTCATCTCCTGTTGCTTAACAGAAGGTTTATCATGTAGACAGACTCAGACCACCTTTTAGATATCAATTATTGTGTGCAGCATCATGAACATTTTCTTAAACAAAAATGGTAAATTAAAAAATACATAAAACTTTTCAATCGAAATCAAAAATTGAAATTAAATTCCACATCTAATAAAGAAGTAACTCACCTCTTGTGGAGGTACATCAAAAGCTATTGTTCTCATGTCCACCTTCTTGAATTCATCAATGCATGGGTACACAAAGAAAAGACCTACAAAAACAAGTCCACAAAACATTCTAAAAATAACCTTTTATCAGTTGTCAGGTAAACATACATAGACATACCCATAAATGGTCAATCCATGTGGTCACTATCAGATACACACAGGGAGGAGGTCATCTCTTATTTGTTACACACAGGGAGGAGGTCATCTCTTATTTGTTACATACAGGGGGGAGGTCATCTCTTATTTGTTACACACAGGGAGGAGGTCATCTCTTATTTGTTACACACAGAGAAGAGATCATCTCTTATTTGTTACACACAGAGAAGAGATCATCTCTTATTTGTTACACACAGAGAAGAGATCATCTCTGATTTGTTACACACAGGGAGGAAGTCATCTCTTATTTGTTACACACAGGGAAGAGGTCATCTTTGAAGTATGAGATCTTACAAACATAATTCACCATCCTTTCAACTTAAAATGATTTAGAATAGACATCACTAAGTAAGGAATCAACATATTATTATAGATATGATGTCACTGACAGACTTCTGTTATATTATATGTATATGTATATTAATTACCCAAACTGACATACCTGGCCCCTTGGCTCCTCCTGACACTACTCTTCCCAGTCTAAAGATGACAGCTCTCTCATATTCCTGTACCACCTGGAACAAGTCAGACAATTAGTAACTATTTCATCTCTGAAAGTCATGATGATGTGGATGTCATAAAGCGATTTACTTTTAATGATGATTTGTGTCCTGTTCATTAGTGATAAATGTGTGAGCTAGTCCCGAGAAATACTTTAGAGTTACATTGGGGACTCATTATTTTCAGTTATGAAGTGGAAAACGACTCATGAAAACAAATTGTATATTGATCACTAATCATTCCATGTAAGTTTGTTTGTGTTTTTGTTTGGTTTATTGTCAGTGAACGACTAGGGTCATTTTGAGGTTGGGTTTCCTTGTGAGCACCTCAGTTAACAACATACACAAGGTCTATCACAGGTCAACCAGAGCAATAAGGGTTAAAATATCTTGCCCAAGGACACAGCCAAGTCACCATAAACATTGTACAAGCAGTAACCCTAAACCTAACCATGTACCTCGGATCTTCACCTAAGGTTACCTAAGTCAATTCACCATGTACCTCGGTTCTTCACCTAAGGTAACCTAAGTCAATTCACCATGTACCTCGGTTCTTCACCTAAGGTAACCTAAGTCAATTCACCATGTACCTCGGTTCTTCACCTAAGGTAACCTAAGTCAATTCACCATGTACCTCGGTTCTTCACCTAAGGTAACCTAAGTCAATTCACCATGTACCTCGGATCTTCACCTAAGGTAACCTAAGTCAATTCACCATGTACCTCGGTTCTTCACCTAAGGTTACCTAAGTCAATTCACCATGTACCTCGGATCTTCACCTAAGGTTACCTAAGTCAATTCACCATGTACCTCGGTTCTTCACCTGAGGTAACCTAAGTCAATTCACCATGTACCTCGGTTCTTCACCTGAGGTAACCTAAGTCAATTCACCATGTACCTCGGTTCTTCACCTGAGGTAACCTAAGTCAATTCACCATGTACCTCGGTTCTTCACCTAAGGTAACCTAAGTCAATTCACCATGTACCTCGGTTCTTCACCTGAGGTAACCTAAGTCAATTCACCATGTACCTCGGTTCTTCACCTAAGGTAACCTAAGTCAATTCACCATGTACCTCGGTTCTTCACCTAAGGTTACCTAAGTCAATTCACCATGTACCTCGATTCTTCACCTAAGGTAACCTAAGTCAATTTACCATGTACCTCGGTTCTTCACCTAAGGTTACCTAAGTCAATTCACCATGTACCTCGGTTCTTCACCTAAGGTTACCTAAGTCAATTCACCATGTACCTCGATTCTTCACCTAAGGTAACCTAAGTCAATTCACCATGTACCTCGATTCTTCACCTAAGGTTACCTAAGTCAATTTACCATGTACCTCGGTTCTTCACCTAAGGTTACCTAAGTCAATTCACCATGTACCTCGGTTCTTCACCTAAGGTAACCTAAGTCAATTCACCATGTACCTCGGTTCTTCACCTAAGGTAACCTAAGTCAATTCACCATGTACCTCGGTTCTTCACCTAAGGTAACCTAAGTCAATTCACCATGTACCTCGGTTCTTCACCTAAGGTTACCTAAGTCAATTCACCATGTACCTCGGTTCTTCACCTAAGGTAACCTAAGTCAATTCACCATGTACCTCGGTTCTTCACCTAAGGTAACCTAAGTCAATTCACCATGTACCTCGGTTCTTCACCTAAGGTAACCTAAGTCAATTCACCATGTACCTCGGTTCTTCACCTAAGGTAACCTAAGTCAATTCACCATGTACCTCGGTTCTTCACCTAAGGTAACCTAAGTCAATTCACCATGTACCTCGGATCTTCACCTAAGGTTACCTAAGTCAATTCACCATGTACCTCGGTTCTTCACCTAAGGTAACCTAAGTCAATTCACCATGTACCTCGGATCTTCACCTAAGGTTACCTAAGTCAATTCACCATGTACCTCGGTTCTTCACCTAAGGTAACCTAAGTCAATTCACCATGTACCTCGGTTCTTCACCTAAGGTAACCTAAGTCAATTCACCATGTACCTCGGTTCTTCACCTAAGGTAACCTAAGTCAATTCACCATGTACCTCGGTTCTTCACCTAAGGTAACCTAAGTCAATTCACCATGTACCTCGGTTCTTCACCTAAGGTAACCTAAGTCAATTCACCATGTACCTCGGTTCTTCACCTAAGGTTACCTAAGTCAATTCACCATGTACCTCGGTTCTTCACCTAAGGTAACCTAAGTCAATTCACCATGTACCTCGATTCTTCACCTAAGGTAACCTAAGTCAATTCACCATGTACCTCGATTCTTCACCTAAGGTAACCTAAGTCAATTCACCATGTACCTCGGTTCTTCACCTAAGGTAACCTAAGTCAATTCACCATGTACCTCGATTCTTCACCTAAGGTAACCTAAGTCAATTCACCATGTACCTCGGTTCTTCACCTAAGGTAACCTAAGTCAATTCACCATGTACCTCGATTCTTCACCTAAGGTAACCTAAGTCAATTCACCATGTACCTCGGTTCTTCACCTAAGGTAACCTAAGTCAATTCACCATGTACCTCGGTTCTTCACCTAAGGTAACCTAAGTCAATTCACCATGTACCTCGGTTCTTCACCTAAGGTTACCTAAGTCAATTCACCATGTACCTTGGTTCTTCACCTAAGGTTACCTAAGCCCACTCACCATGTACTTCGGAACTTCACCTGAGGTTACCTAAGTCAATTCACCATGTACCTCGGAACTTTTCTGAGGTTACCTTAGCCGATTCACTAACAGATTGAGCAATTGCAGGCACAATTCATGTAAGAGTCATGGAGACTGGTGTGATATTCTGGTGTGTAATGATTCATGTCTGCTGGTGAAAATGTTATGTTGGTTTGTGCCCAGTGGATGCTTTATATTGATTAACATATCGTAAATGTTTCTCTCACAATTTTCAGGACTTATTCATGATTATAAAACATAGCTATCTTTTATATTAAAATATTTCCTTTTCTTTCACGCTGCTGATTTTTTTGTCCCCTATTTCTTCTATTTTCTTTAAAAAATGCCATAAACATATGCTGACATGCCCGGTCAGTTTTTGTTTGAAATGTTGTGTTAGCGAAATGGTTCCTATAATTAGATAAGACAATTTTCAGGGATCCCTGTAACCTAACCACCAAGCTTGTCAGTAGTACTGATAAATCTGTCCAGTATCATGGACACTGTAATTATGGTTCATCATCCCCTATACCTGGTGCAGAGTACCGTAAACCCACAACAGTAGTCATGTTTAAAAGGTCAACATCATTATGGTTACCATGGTGCCAAGTCTGATAATAAAACAAAAATTACCCTAGAATATAATTCATAATGGAGTTCTGATAATTCTGTGTAAACAAATAGAAAGTCGACATTGATTGAAAGACTGGTTAGCTTTATAATACACAGCATTACTCTAGAGATTATATCTTATATTCAGTGGAAAAATCCCACCCCCAAATTACCTCACAATTTTTACCTCACAAAACTCTTCAGGAAGTTTGAGCAATTTCTTCCTAAAGATGTTCTTTTTAAGGAAGTTCTTCCTGATGTACACTACTGGGTGAAATGAACCATAGTTTACTTAACCATTGTAGTATTTTGACACCAGTTCATTTCCCCGTGCCTCACAAACCATGCTACACCAGAAGATGAGTTATCTTTGTATTTTTGTTGGAGTATTCTTCCCCTATCCATATTTTTTTCTAGGCGGAAGTGAGTATTCTTCTCCTATACATATTTTTTTCTAGGCGGAAGTGAGCATTCTTCTCCTATACATATTTTTTTCTAGGCGGAAGTGAGCATTCTTCTCCTATACATATTTTTTTCTAGGCGGAAGTGAGTATTCTTCCCCTATACATATTTTTTTCTAGGCGGAAGTGAGCATTCTTCTCCTATACATATTTTTTTCTAGGCGGAAGTGAGTATTCTTCTCCTATACATATTTTTTTCTAGGCGGAAGTGAGTATTCTTCCCCTATACATATTTTTTTCTAGGCGGAAGTGAGCATTCTTCTCCTATACATATTTTTTTCTAGGCGGAAGTGAGCATTCTTCTCCTATACATATTTTTTTCTAGGCGGAAGTGAGTATTCTTCCCCTATACATATTTTTTTCTAGGCGGAAGTGAGCATTCTTCTCCTATACATATTTTTTTCTAGGCGGAAGTGAGTATTCTTCCCCTATACATATTTTTTTCTAGGCGGAAGTGAGCATTCTTCTCCTATACATATTTTTTTCTAGGCGGAAGTGAGCATTCTTCTCCTATACATAGTTTTTTCTAGGCGGAAGTGAGCATTCTTCCCCTATACATATTTTTTTCTAGGCGGAAGTGAGCATTCTTCTCCTATACATAGATTTTTTTCTAGGCGGAAGTGAGTATTCTTCCCCTATACATATTTTTTTCTAGGCGGAAGTGAGCATTCTTCTCCTATACATATTTTTTTCTAGGCGGAAGTGAGTATTCTTCCCCTATACATATTTTTTTCTAGGCGGAAGTGAGCATTCTTCTCCTATACATATTTTTTTCTAGGCGGAAGTGAGCATTCTTCTCCTATACATATTTTTTTCTAGGCGGAAGTGAGCATTCTTCTCCTATACATATTTTTTTCTAGGCGGAAGTGAGCATTCTTCTCCTATACATATTTTTTTCTAGGCGGAAGTGAGTATTCTTCTCCTATACATATTTTTTTCTAGGCGGAAGTGAGTATTCTTCTCCTATACATATTTTTTTCTAGGCGGAAGTGAGTATTCTTCTCCTATACATATTTTTTTCTAGGCGGAAGTGAGTATTCTTCTCCTATACATATTTTTTTCTAGGCGGAAGTGAGTATTCTTCTCCTATACATATTTTTTTCTAGGCGGAAGTGAGCATTCTTCTCCTATACATATTTTTTTCTAGGCGGAAGTGAGTATTCTTCCCCTATACATATTTTTTTCTAGGCGGAAGTGAGTATTCTTCTCCTATACATATTTTTTTCTAGGCGGAAGTGAGCATTCTTCTCCTATACATATTTTTTTCTAGGCGGTATTCTTCTCCTATACATAGTAGGCGGAAGTATTCTTCTCCTATACATAGTTTTTGTCTGGGGGGAAGTGAGTATTCTTCCCCTATACATAGTTTTTGTCTGGGGGGAAGTGAGTATTCTTCTCCTATACATAGTTTTTGTCTGGGGGGAAGTGAGTATTCTTCCCCTATACATATTTTTTTCTAGGCGGAAGTGAGTATTCTTCTCCTCTTCTCCTATACATAGTTTTTGTCTGGGGGGAAGTGAGCATTCTTCTCCTATACATATTTTTTTCTAGGCGGAAGTGAGCATTCTTCTCCTATACATAGTTTTTTCTAGGCGGAAGTGAGTATTCTTCCCCTATACATATTTTTTTCTAGGCGGAAGTGAGCATTCTTCTCCTATACATATTTTTTTCTAGGCGGAAGTGAGCATTCTTCTCCTATACATAGTTTTTTCTAGGCGGAAGTGAGCATTCTTCCCCTATACATATTTTTTTCTAGGCGGAAGTGAGCATTCTTCTCCTATACATATTTTTTTCTAGGCGGAAGTGAGCATTCTTCTCCTATACATAGTTTTTTCTAGGCGGAAGTGAGTATTCTTCTCCTATACATATTTTTTTCTAGGCGGAAGTGAGTATTCTTCTCCTATACATATTTTTTTCTAGGGGGAAGTGTTTTCTTTGATACATTGCAATTGTTTTTTCTGACCAAGGTTCCTGGCCAAGAGTCAATTTCCGTTTCAAAGTGATCAGTTTTCATCTTTTCAAATAATCTACAATAATAATAGCAAACCTAAAGAGCACGATGGCAGTATATAAGGACTGAAATTTTCAATAATACAGTCTGTATAACAATTGTTTGTTTCCTGATTTAGGAAATAACTTTACACTCAAAGCTCTCTGTAACCAATGACAGAGCCCTTACAAGTTCTTCCTTATGTACATATGCATGCCTCTATAGAATGGTCCTATCACATAATGTCTAAAACAACACTGCCACTCCGGAGAATTAATCAATATCAGGTAGTCATGGTACTATAAAATAAAAGGCCAAATGGGCTGTATTAACTACCTGTTTCTAATTATATATATATGACAAGGCATTGATTGTTTCCACTAAGTTGGACTACTAATTAAGTTTTCTCAAATGCTTTGCTGACCAAACAAAAACATGAAAGTACAACTCAGCTGCATAGTTCCAGTAGGTGAGACCCAATCCTAGTATAGAAGGTAAGACCATATGAAAGCCTTTGCATGGTACTTGTACTGGTAGGAGGGAAAGGTAACTCCCCCTTAATACCTGAAATTGGTTTATACCATAAATATCGTACATGATATTATATGACAACAAATAAAAACTGTCAACAAGGAAAAAATCAATTACATACCTTGATGGACATGCAGAGTGAAAATGGGAAAAACAAGACGACCACACAGATAGAGAAGAACATGAGAATGTATCCACAACAGCCAATATCTCCGTCCTGAGACTCCCTGTTCATTTTAGCTGTAATTACAAAAAACAAACATTGAATATAAATAAATACACAAATATCATTCTATGATATCTATAATGTTTAACCAAAGCTACATTTTACATGATTTTAAAGTTGTCTCCAAAACAATATCTTATATTACATTCCATTCTTTGATCTACGCCTTATATGAGAATAAATGGAACAGGAGCATACACCAAGATACAGTTTTAACTACATTCAATGATTATATGGAATAACTTGCATATCAAACACATGGAACTTTCATTTTCTTTTTTGCTTTCTACTACTCAAAGTACATTTTCTTTTTTTAAGGAAATAAACGAGGCTTATTAACCTTAAAAAGGAAAGACTACAAGTATTTAATGAATTCTATCATCAAATTTCATTGTTTCGAAATGTGAAAAAATATCATGATAGAATATTGTCATTTATGATGGCCATGACTGAACATTCTCTACAGAATAATTTTGTTAAATGTGTACATGCTGTGGTAGTTACACAGCTGTTAACAATTACTTATGGTGCCTTGGAAAAACAAAAATGAAACTACTAATCTGTGAAAGCAACCTAACTAAATATAGGTACAGTTAATATACTGGAGAGGTGAATTCAGTATTACGAAGTATCCAAGGAGACCATATGTAAGGGTACTATTCATTAGATTTGGATTGTAAGAGAAGAAAACGACAGTACTTCCCTATTTCAGAAAAAAAGAAATAATGTTAATAACAAAAAACAACTAACAAAAGTGGGGTTATTTTATAAAACAAGAAGGTGTTTTGAACTGTGAACACTTCTATGTAAACATGTAAGTAAGAACAGAAAACAGTACCAGAAATGATGACAGAGGATGTAATGAAAAACTTAATGGATCCAAAACAATATCTATGGAGGTTTAGAAGGATAGTCCTGGTTCTAACCATTTTCTAGGATTTTATATAATTCTTTATTTACCTAAGGGGAGGAGTGGAACAGGACATAAAATTAAGATAGAGGTCTGAAAAATTAACTTTTAAATGTGCAAGAAAAGGAGTAATTTTTCTCATGACCTATTATGTATAGGATGTAAATTGAAAAGAAAAGGGAGGTAATTATATTTTGTATACTGACTTCCTGTACATGACCAAGCAATATCTATTTTCCACAACTGACCATGGTGTGAATATAACACTTAAACATTGCAATTAACAAGATTTACAGTCCATTATCTTGTGATTGAAGAAACATTTTACTAAGAAAATTGACCACATAAAAATTAATTGAAACATTACTTCTGGGGAAACAATTGTTGTTCAGAAGAAATATCCATTACATTTTACCCATTTTGGTGAATGCTTATGTATACAGAGTTCTTTGAGAGTATAATAAATCACTATTGATCTTCCATTGTTTTAGATATTCTCAATCAGAAACTTTAAAGTAGTTCACAACAATAAAATGAAGAACTTAGTAAATGATTTTTGTTCTATCCCACATTTTTCTAGTTAGTGATGGTAGAGAGTCCATAACATACTTAAAAGTTATTGAATGAATGGTTGTAGAATGTACACTTAAGACTACAATCTACCATAGATATTAAGTTAAGATGATTTAAATACACTGCATAAATATCAGAAGGTTATAAATAAAATCATCACCCACATGATTCTCCTGTAATGAAAACAGAATCAATCACTGCTGGTATAGATACAGGCAAGACTTTCTAATATGCATAAAAACAAACAGAAATTTGCATGGCATATGTAGGTACCTTCAGAGACTATTTTTGGAAAAATTTATGTCACATAACATATTTGAATTTAGCAACAATTGTTGCCAAATCACTATAATAGTCAGTATTCAACCTACTAAGGGCACATTATCATTTTTCCTGAGAAAGCTGACTAAGGTTGCTTGCTTTATTGACCTACCATGTTAATAGACCTTTATATATTTGTCTCATATACACGCTTATCAGACACTTGGCATTATTACTGAAATTTATCATTTCTTTTTATTAAACTCACAGTGTGATTTCTGTTACGTATTTCACTACTCACTATTCCCTATTCCTATATAACAGACTTTTTTTATCACTGCTACACATATGTTCTATACAATTAAACCTGTTTCTCAACTTAAAGTTATCTCTAAGCTCACCAAAAATAAAAATTCCTATTCTCAAGTTTCTAGTGTTGTGTCCATTTTGTCTATTATTAAACCCCATCTGTAACTATCAACACAGAGGTATCTACGCATTCAAATGTAAATAAAGACTGCACTGACATTCATGTCATTACGAAATTTCTTGCTATGTGTACCTAAGAGTTTTAATATTTGGTTATATATACAAGAGATTACAAACAAATCCTATATTCACAAGGAAGTATTTACGTATGCTATTCAAATGCAAATAAAGACTGAACTGACATTCATAGTCATTACAAAATGACCTGCTTTGTTTATATTAGAGTTTTAATATTTGGTTATAAATACAACAGATTACGAAATGTCCCGCTTTGTTTACATTAAAGTTTTAATATTTGGTTATAAATACAACAGATTACGAAATGCCCTGCTTTGTTTACATTCAAGTTTTAATATTTGGTTATAAATACAACAGATTACGAAATGTCCCGCTTTGTTTACATTCAAGTTTTAATATTTGGTTATAAATACAACAGATTACGAAATTTACTGCAATGCTCACCTGACAGTATTGCTATTAGTTTATATATTCCTGTATGTTTTATCAAGAAAGATCAATTTACGGTTTATGATATCATCTTTCGACATCCATTGCCTTTATAAAAGCATTCCAATGAAAACATTGAATATTTATGTAAGGAAATCAAGACAAGTTGAAAGCTTTAAAACTATCCGTGGGGAATTTATTTCCAGTATGATATTATCATTACTATCAACAAAGTCAGGAACATATGCTTCACATTTACACTTATGGGAACAGATGTACCAACCACCACAGCCTGTTTATACTAATGAATACAGATGTGTACAACTGTCATAACCTGAATTTACCAATGGGTGCAAATTTACCCAAATGTCATTAACCTGCATAATTACATGATGGGTACAAATATATCCGCTTTCTGTTTGCATTGATGGGTACAAATATTTTTACTTGGCAACCATGTTGAAAAGATTAATGTCATTCAAGTGATTGGGTAAAGACAGGAAGTGATGAAAGGATACAACTGATAAGTATATATATGTATATATTTCCTAAACTCAATGAATTATAATGATTCATTACAAGTACTTGACTGTGTGTATAACTATCATCCCAACATGAGAAAACAAATTGCAGAATACATATCTTAGTGAGATCATGACCACAATACAACATGTTTACCTTATAAGGAATTCATCTGACCTAACAAAGCCATCTTTATACACTATTTCTATCTAAACATTTTCACCTAGAATATTGTACTGGAGAAAAAAAAAGTTCTTTATAAAAATCTTAACTTCTATCAATGATGGATGACCACTGATGTGTAAATTCAAAAAAGATTTAGACAAAGTAATTAATTTGTGTTAGTCACTCAAATATCAATATAAAGCTCATTAACATGGCTTCTTTTTTCAACTAAAAAAGATGAAGTTTAATATTCTAAAGTATTTCACTTATTTGACCTTGAAAGTAAGTAAAAGCATTTTTTTAATTATCCTCTCAGCTCTTCATCCAACCATATATACTATATGTAAAATTTTATTTGTTAAAAGTCTAGAATTATCCTGATTTCCACACATTTCAAATCAATGATGGCATTATACATAGCATTTTGTGTTGACACCAATGTATTATTGAACATGCTCCTAGTACTTCCATGTTTATTCTGCGTTACAACAAAGGTAATCAATTATTTATATCATTATTACAGAATGCAATGCAACAACTTGCGATCAAATCGCCTGTTATCATAGAAAAAAATCAAAGGCTATTGATTGTGGATGTTGACAGTTTAAAGATATAAAATTTACAGAAATGAACTGTAAGAGAAATTCATTGGAGGTAGTGATGGACTGGTTTGTACTTAGTTAAGGATTGTTGGTGCACCATAGTATATTTACATCAAGGTAACTACATGTGGTGTGCACCAAGTAAATATCCCAAAATAAACTTCAATACAAAAAAACCAATCACAATCCTTAGATTAACATTTGATCACCAGAAAATTTCAAAACACATTAAAAAACAAATTACCTTCATATGAAATGGGGTAGACATAGACAGATTGTAGATATAAAAAGAGGTTCAATACAGAGAGCAGTTATAGACAGAGGTAGTTAAAGATGGAGGTAGTAAAAGACAAATAGTTAAAGATGGGGTAGATATAAACTGGGGTCAGTTATAGACAGACAGAGGGTAGATTTAAACAATTGTAGTTATAGACATGTTTCAGGAGTGAATGGTCCAAGAGTGTGCCTTTTATTATACAAACAAGTGCTTTATCATTATTTATCTTTCCTTCAGCTGATGTTTACACTTGCTTTGGTCATAATCCATACAATATAGTAAAATGCTAATGGCAGAGTCTAGAGGAATTTAGATAATGGTAAATGTTGTTTGATATTGATTGCCCTGTTTTACCTCAAATCTAATACAGATCTCAACTTACTTTAACTATACAAACATTACCCAAATATTAAATGCACTGCTTTCAACACAATGGCTGACTGTATGACATGTGTGGATTAGTTTAAATCCTTACTCTTCATCAAGAGGGATTGTGAATATTAAAGGCCTGCACTATATACCAGATGGTTCACAAGACATAACTTGTTAATGACAGCTAGAATACACAATTAATCCTACCAATATCTGTAGGCATGATATCAAAGGTTGTAATTACCCTCAACGTACAAATTTCAGCAGTAATCTTGTTTTAGCACTTTTCATATTAAAAGCATTGCACTAAAATAAGATTTTACCAATTGCAATTACTGTATGTTGTTATGTATCGATTGTTATGGCTGTACCAATCCATCAGAGAAATGATTTACC